TTCTTTTTTCCTTTGGTTTTGGGGCCACTACCTATGCTACTCAGTGGTTACTCCTGGCTCTGCAATCAGGAATAACTCCTAAGGGAACCACATGGGATGCCGATCAAATCCTGGGTTGACCAGGTGCAAGACTAGTGCATTAGCCAGTGTATTATCTCTTTGCTTCTTAGTTATTTTTCTTTGAGACTCTATAGCTCCACTTAGACAAGATTTGTCAAATTTATTTGACCTTTAAAAAAAATCTCTCAGTAACCCCCAATCGCAAAATCCCTCCCCCCTCCCCGGGATGAACAAACAGAAAGCTCCCTCCAAACTGCACCCATGATTACTCTCATCTCCGTCATTCCAATACTCCCCAGGGGGTGCTATTGCCCACTTTGGGGAACACTACTAGGGCATCCTCCCATGTAGATTTGATAGGGATAGCTCTATACTTATTCCAAATCTGGGCATTCTGAAAGAACCCATCTCTTTCTGTTTCCTTGATGGAGCCCTTTGTTCACAATGTCAGAGCTAAAAAATCCACTGGTGACAGGGTGTCCAAAGTTTAGTGTAAATTCCAGAAATGTAGTTAAAGAAAGAGTTGGTGGATCATTTAAAACCTTTTTGTTTTCAAGATTACACTGTGCTGCACAATAACTTGGGAGAACAGGAATAAATGATTAGAAAAGCCCGCAGACCCCATGTCACCTCATGTAAATGGGTAGGATGAGAACAGCTAGCAAGTCCGTGTTTCCATGTAGATAGCTACAGTGCTAATAATCATTTTTATGGAGCGATAGCACAGTGGGTAGGGCATTCGCCTTACAAGCGGCCAGCATGGCCCACCCGAGTTCGATTCCTCCGCCCCTCTCGGAGAGCCCGGCAAGCTACCGAGAGTATCTCGCCCTCAGGGCAGAGCCTGGCAAGCTCCCCGTGACGTATTCGATATGCCAGACACAGTAATAACAAAGTCTCCAATGGAGACGTTACTGGGCCCGCTCGAGCAAATCGACGATCAATGGGAGGGCCTTTACCTTTACCTTTATGGTAGTATTTGAAAGGTTATATTATTAGAAATGTAATCATCTCTGAAAACAGACACTATCATCTAGTTATTATATATTAGCCTATAATATCTTCTACCAAATCCCATTTTCTTATCAATGAATATGTAATGGGTCAAGTTTTAAAATATATTAGAGTATATTGCTTCCTGCTGTGGGTCACCACCCTCAAAATGACTCCATGTTTGCACAGCATTAGTTGAGAAATATCATTTAGGAAGAGCAGTAAGCTATAGAGCTCTGGATAAAACCTTGGTTTTGTTTTATCCCTTAAACTGATGGTTTTACCATTAGGTCGCAGCATGTTAAGGCAGCCTGATTCTATGCACCAGGAACTGACCAGCTTTTGCTTCCGAAAAATGCCATGATCTATTTGCTTGCAGACTTTCAAATTCCTATCAGTGAATTGCGAGTTGGCTCAGAAAAGTTCACTTGCTATGCTAATAAAATCACTGCTTACCTTGTACCAGGAATTTCAAGTCCTGGCCAATGTTCTCTGAATATTTATGGAAGACATAAGCACAGTTTGGGAATGCAAAGCATACAGATCATGGATTTGCAAAAATGACAAGCTCTTTTGATAGTTTTTGTTGTCACATTCACTTTGGAGTGGAACTTTCTCACACTGTTTCTGAAACATTTATACTTCACTCTGGAACCCTTAAACTTTTTCTTTATTTACATGTTTTCCTTCCTTGTTTCACACAATAGAGAATTTTTCCTACTGCTTTCTCCTCAATACTGTATTGGAGGTCAGACCACATTCCATATTATTTTGCCAGTTTCACTTAAGTTGTAACTCTTGTCCAATTTAAAAAAGAATTTTGTGTCTTGGGTCTAATTATTTTCATGTACCATCATGTATCATCTTGATAGCTTCTTGCTATAACTATTTTCCTTAGTTTCAAGACCCATTTTAATTTTTCATGCCCAAAACTCTGCCTCACTTCCCACTTCTCACTACTCCTCCGCTCCATGATGGAGACTGGTGTTTTGATGTGAGTCAATAACAATAAGCCCCTTTATCAAGCTGTTTGGCCACTCTTTGCTTTTTATCCAGTTCATAGAAAAAATAATTTCTCTTTGGAAAGTAAGCAAAAATCGTTTTCGTTAACATCTTTCTCGATACAGTCCCCCTTTCTTTGTAATAAAACACTGGAGTCTTAACAGTGAATTTTGAGAGGAAAAATCAGTAACTACTGATGAATGTTGAATGCGTCATGAAAGTTTGTCTCATGGTGATGTCATTGCAGAAATACATGGTTATTCTCTCTTCCTTATGGTTATTGGTAAAAAAATAGCCTTTGATGAAATCTAATTGTTCAAATAGTTATGCAAATTTCTCAGGGTTTGTGTGTGTGTGTTGTGTGTATGTATTGTGTGTGTCAAAACTTACCCCATTGAAAGTATGCTCAGCGTAACTCAACCAGGGAAGGGGAAATGCGGGTTATGAGAACTCAGCTTTGGCTCTGCCTTCTTATTAGCTAAGGAATCTTTGACATTCACCTCACCTGTGTGGTCCTTGATATCTGTGGGTCTCAGATTCTTACTCTGTGAACAAAAGTATATTTCTGGGATATTGTAATAAGTGACCCCCAAGTTGAGTGACTGAACATATCTCTCTCAGTTTCTGTGGTTGGAGAAACAGTCTTGGTCAAGCTGGTTAAGAGTTGCTGAACACTGCAGTTAAGGAGTCTCCCGGGACCCCTTGCAAAACTCCTTTTCGATCCCTGCATTGATGTCACTGAGTTACTCAAGGGTTGTTGAATTGATGGACTCATCTCCTTTTTTTTTTTTAATTTTTATTAGTGAGACACCATGAGGTACAGTTGTGGACTTACAAGTTCTTGTGCTTGGGTTTCAATTACACAATGATCAAATATCCATCCCTCCACCAGTGCCCATTTCCTACCACCACGGATCCCAGTATCCCTTGGGTTTTTGGTCAGAGGGCCCTTCACTTCCTTTTCCCGGGTTGGCTCCTCCTTGATACAACCCCCATGCACAGGTGAGGACTGCATGAGAGAAAGTGAAAGAGAACAAGCAAGAGATAAGGTTTTCCTGTAATCTAGTGAGCAAGGTCAAATTCTTTTTCCTACATTCTATAGTTGCTAAACTACATTCTATAGAGTTTAGAATTACTATCTTTGTACTTTTTTGAACTTAACCAGATTATTGCTTAATCTGGGACTAATCCCAGATTACTTGTGAGAAAGGGACAGTATCCATTTCAGTCTCTCATTTTGCCTTAAATTGGGATATAAGGTAAAGGCCTAGTCTTTAAGAACTAGAGTCTTTTACGGTTTCAAATAACAATTTGCCTTGGTAGGAGTTGAGACTATAGGTATATAAATGTATATCTGTAAATATCAATATATAACATATACATAGATATATATTCACATATATGTCAATATAGATGGGGTATGTCACATATGCATCTTCATTTCAAGGTCCATGTAGAATTGATTTGATTTCAAGATTTATGAATAAACTTAAATTTTTTTATCCCCCCAACCATTATAAATGAAACTACGTATGTAATTTAGGGCTACTGGTGCTATAACTATTTCATTTTGTAATATTAAATTAATTTCTCAATTTTATTGTGCTGAAATATATGGAATTGCTTACAATCCCTATTAAAAATAACAGTAACAGGGAAGGATATTGGCTGAAAAACCATCAGTTATGAGTACAAACTCTGCTTTGAGTGACAGAGCATAATTTCTTCAAGTATCAGTTCCCTTATTTGTAAAATGAGAGTAATGATGATACTGTGCCATTAAATAGCACTGCAGAAGCACTGTCATTCCATTGTTCATTGACTTGCTCTAGTGGGCATCAGTAATGTCTCCATTCGTCCCAGCCCTGAGATTTTAACAGCCTCTCCTCTCATCTTTCCCAACTCTGCTGTACTGGAGACTCTTTCAGGTCAGCCAAATGAGACTATTTATTGTTACTGTTTTTGGCATATCAAATATGCCACAGGTAGCTTTCCAGGCTCTGCCATGCAGGTGGGATACTCTTAGTAGCTTGCCGGGCTCTCTGAGAGGGAAGCAGGCTTTGGCATGAGCTCTAATAACTTTTACAGGCACTCCAGGAAATCCTACTGGATTGATCTCTTCTGGGAAATTTGCTTTTTGGTCTCTGGATCTTGGCCATTGATGAGATTACATGGCGCTGAGGGCAGTTTGTGGGTGTGACTGCCAAGCTACTGGAAAATCAGGTATCTGGGTGGAGGAGGCCCAGTGCCAATTAAAGCAAGCTTGGAAATCTCAGCCCTGGGTCCCATGTACCTGGGTTCCTCTGCCGGTTCCTTCGTGCATTAGGCTCTTCCGAGCATGTAGAGAGTGGCCTTGAGCATGACTGTGACTGGGTTCTGAAAGTTTTCGGCTGCTGGGGCTCTGCTGGGGGCAGGGAGGGAAACTCAACTTGCCCCCTTGCGAGGGGGGCCCAGTGAAGACAGCCTGGTGCGGGGGCAGAGGATTCTGTCATGCCATTAAGTCATATTTCTAAATGATAAGTTTAATTTATAAATGGAATCTACCAATCCATGCAGTTTCTTTTTTTTTTCTTCTTATATTTTTATAACAGAACTGGCAGAGGAACCCAGGTGTGTGGGACCCGGGGCTGAGATCTCCAAGCCTGCACGGTTTGGGACTGGACCTGTCAGTAGCTAGACAGTTACACCCTCCAACTGCCGTGTAATCCCAACAACTGCCAGGATCCAGAGATTATCACAAAAAGCTCCTGGGAGCAGACTATTTATTTACTTTTCTCTAAGTTTTCAGGGTACCTTAAATATTCAACCCGCATGGCAGAGCCTGGCAAGCTACCCGTGGTCTATGCCAAATAGACCAAATTGATATGCCAAATCCAGTAATAAATGGATCTCATTTCCCTAACCCTGAATATGCAGAGTCGAGAAGGATATGGAAGGAGAGGCTGATAAAACACCAAGGCAGACATAGGCTGCCAAAACGCAGAAAAACAAAAATGATTGTCTGTACTTTTAATGCTCGTACGCTGGCATCTGCTGCATCCATTGAAGATCTTATGGTACAAGTGCGAAAGATCAAGTACGACATCATTGGTCTGACCAAAATGAGAAGACATCAATCCCATCATGCTGTTTTCGACACTGGAGAAGAACTGTTCCTTGGAACATGTGATAAAAGATGCATCGGTGGTGTCGGTATCCTTGTCAACACAAACTTAGTCATGAGCATTGATTCATTCGAATGCCTAACAACCCGAATCGGACGATTACACTTGAATAAATGTGGCTCACTACCGGCAATTTCTATCTTTATTGTCTATGCACCAACATCCAGGTATGGTGAAAGAAAAATGGAGAAATTCTACATGGAGCTGGAGAAGTTCTATAAAGAAGATCACACCTTCTACAAGATCATTGTCGGTGATTTTAATGCCAAGATAGGACCAAGAAGATCAGTCGATGAACTCCACATTGGAACCCATGGCCTGGAATGGAACAAACAGGGTGACAGATTGTCTGAGTTCATCATGTCAACCAAAACCTTCCATGGTAACTCACAATTCCAAAAGGCTGAATCTAAACGTTGGACATGGGATTCTCCCGATGGACGGTTCCACAATGAAATAGACCACATCATATTCAATCGGCAGTTTTGCCTAACCGATGTTGCTGTTGTCCCAAAATTCCAAACGGGATCAGACCACCGTCTTCTTCGTGCAAAATTCTACCTCACAGAACGAGGAGAAAAGAATGCAAGGTTTAAGAAGAGGACTCCCAGAACAACCACCAACTGGGAGCTCTTTGGCTCTATTGCGGCAACATGGGAAGATGCCGTCATTGACAACATTGATGAGGAATACAATCGAATGATTCAGCACCTCCATGATTGTGCAAGGAATGCCAAGAGAGAGATAACCACAAAAAACCGTCTTTCTTTGAACACTCTTGAACTTATTCGCCAATGTGGCTTGGCACATGCCTCAGGCAACCACAAGCGAACATCCGAACTGGCAAAACAGTGCAGAGAAGCCATCAAGGATGATCTCAAAAACTGGAGAGCAGTAATGGTCGATGCAGCAGAAGCTGGGAAAAACATTCGTAATGCCCGCCTGTCCTTCACCAACTACAAAACCAAGATGACTGCCCTCCGACATCATGATGGATCTATCACATCTTCCAGAAGGGCAATGGAGAAGATTATTCATGAATTCTACTCAGATCTCTTTAATAGCCGCATCCACTTACCCACATACCACATACCACATGATGGATATGTCATTGTCATTGTTCTCCCTTCCGAAATCCAACATGCCATCTCGTCGGTAAAGAAACAAAGAGCACCTGGCCCAGACAAGATCAGACCTGAACACCTGAAGAACTTACCATCAGTACTCATCAATACATTGGCTCGACTCTTCACACGCTACCTGTCTGAATGCAAGGTTACATCCCAGTGGAAAACCAGCAGGACTGTACTACTATACAAGAAAGGAGACATCCACGACATTGGCAACTATCGCCCAATCTGCCTATTGTCTGTCATCTACAAACTATTCACTCAAATCATCCTGAATAGGATTAGCAGAACACTAGATGAAGGATAACCATATGAACAAGCTGGATTCTGAAAAGGATTCAGTACCATCAACCATATCCACACAATAACCAAGCTCATTGAGGTATCTCGGGAGTTCAAGATGCCGCTATGTCTAACGTTCATTGATTTAAAGAAGGCCTTTGATTCTGTTGAGACGGAAGCGGTCATGGAAGCCCTAGTCAATCAGGGCATACAAACTCAATACATCAGGATCCTTCGTGAGCTCTATTGCGGATTCACTACCAAGATCTCACCATTCTACAAAGAAGTAATCATCCATATCAAGAGAGGGGTTCGGCAGGGGTGATACCATTTCACCAAAACTCTTCAGTGCCACCCTCGAGAACATCATGCGACGACTGGAATGGGAAGGAATGGGAGTGAAGATAGATGGTCGGCAACTACACCACCTCCGCTTTGCTGATGACATCGTGCTAATAACACCAAACATCAGCCAACCGGCACAAATGCTGAACGACTTTGACCATGAATGTGGAAAGGTCGGACTACAGCTGAATCTTACGAAGACAATGTTTATGAGAAACAGCCTTGTTCCTGATGCTCCATTCGCTCTCAACAGAACCACCATCTCCGAATGCAACAGTTATATATACCTAGGTCAAGAAATCAACATGATGAATGACCTGGCACCTGAGTTGCGCAGGAGGAAGAGAGCGGCTTGGAATGCCTTCAAGAGCATTGAAGAAATAACTAAAAGGACAAAGAACCTCCAGCTACGAGCACATCTCTTTGATCCCACTGTTCTTCCTGCATTAACATATGCCTCAGAGACCTGGACCCTACGAAAACAGGATGAGAACGCTATTCGGGTCTCTCAAAGAGGAATCGAAAGAACTATGCTTGGAATATCACGATTCACTCAAATGAGAGATAGAATCCGGAGTTCTGATCTTCGTCAACGCTCAAGAATCAGGGACGCTGTCTCATTTGCCAAGACATCAAAAATCAGATGGGCTGGACACGTAATGAGGTTTACAGACAACCGCTGGACTAGAGGCATTACTAATTGGATTCCACGGGACATCAAAAGGTCACGTGGACGCCCATCTATAAGATGGTCAGACTTCTTCGTCAAGACCCTAAATGATCGGTTTGAGGCTCTGCATGTTCCTAGAACGAACAGATACCATTGGGCTACGCTAGCACGCAACCGGGATGAATGGAGACGTTACTGGTACCCGCTCGAATAAATCGATAAATAACGGGGATTAAGTGATTAAGTGATAAGTGAAGTGATATTTTTATTAGTGAAACACCATGAAGTACAGTTGTAGACTTACAAATTTTTGTGCTTGGGTTTCAGTTATACAATGATTGAATACCCATCCCTCCACCAGTGCCCATTCTTCACCACCACCAGTCCCAGGATCCCTCCCTCCCCCTATCCCCCCATCCACCCTACCTCTGTGTCAGGGCATTCCCTTTTGTTATCTTTCTCATTTTGAGTGCTGTGGTTTGCAAAAGAGACATTGAGTGGCAATCCTGTTCAGTCTATAATCTACTCTCATCATGCATTTCCTATCCTGAGAGGAACCTCCCAACACCCTTTATTTGGTGCTTCCTTCTCTCTCTGAGCTGCCTTTTCCCCTAGCGTGTGCGGCTGTCCTCAAAGCCATGGAGTAATCCTCCTGCTACTTATCTCGGCTATTCTATGGTGTTAGTCTCCTATTTTGTTACTTTATGTTCCCCAGATGAATGCAATCTTTCTATGTCTGTCCCTTTCTTTCTGACTCATTTCACTTAGCATGATACTTTCCATGTAGTACCACTTGTATATGAATTTCATGACTTCATCTTTTCTAACAGCTGCATAGTACTCCATTGTGTAGATATACCAAAGTTTCTTTAACCAGTCATCTGTTCTCGGGTATTCAGGATTTTTTTTCCAGATTCTGGCTATTGTAAAGAGTGCTGCAGTAAGCAAACAAGTACAGATGTCACTTCGACTATATATTTTTGCCTCTCTGGGATATATTTCCAGGAGTGGTATTGCTGGGTCAAATGGGAGCTCAATTTCTACTTTTTTGAGGATCGTCCATACAGTTTCCCAGAAAGGCTGAACCAGTTGGCATTCCCACCAGCAGTGAAGGAGAGTCCCTTTCTCGCCACATCCGTGCCAAAACCGGTTGCTTTTGGTCTTTTGGATGTGGGCCAGTCTCTGTCGTGTGAAATGATATCTCTTTGTTGTTTTGATCTGCATCTCCCTGATGATTAATGATATAGAGCATTTTCTCATGTGCCTTTTAACCATTATGATTTCTTCTTTGAGAAAGTTTCTGTTCACTTCTTTGCCCCATTTTTTGATAGGGTTGAGTGTTTTCTTCTTGTGGAGTTCAACCAGTACTTTGTATATCCTTGATATCAACCCTTTGTCAGATGTGTATCCGGAGAATATCCATTCCCATTCTGTAGACTGTCTTTGTATTTTGGTCACTGTTTCTTTGGAGGTGCACAAGCTTCTTAGTTTAAGATAGTCCCATTTGTCTATCTCTGTTTTCACTTGCTTGGCCAGTGGCGTGACATCTTTGAGGATACCATTAGCTTCAATGTCATGGAGGGTTTTGCCAACTTTGTCTTCAATATAACTTATGGATTCTGGTCTGATGTTGAGGTCTTTAATCCATTTTGATCTTACTTTTGTACTGGGTATTAGGACAGATCTGAGCTCACTTTTTTGCATGTAGCTGTCCAGTTTTGCCAGCACAATTTGTTAAAGAGGCTTTCCTTGCTCCACTTCACATTTCTTGTCCCCTTATCAAAGGTTAGATGATCATATGCTTGGGGGAAATGGGGAAAAAGAAAATGGGAAGAATCAACCTCCCTAACTTCAAACTCTACTACAAAGCAGTAATAATTAAAACAGCATGGTACTGGAACAAAGGCAGAGCTACCAACCAATGGAACAGGGTCAAATATACTGACATCTTCATGCAGTTTCTTAACTAGTCTCTTATTTCAGGCCATCTGTATACAGCGTGGTTGTTGCTGGAATCCTGTAGGGGACATGAAAATTCCGGGGTGCTACTATTCTAAGAATCATGGCTATCAAATGGAGGGTCCTGTGAAAGAAACAAATACAGGTAGGCTGTATTGACAGGAACAGGAGGTCAGATACTCAGAGGATGGCCCCTGGGCTGCAGAAGGAAGGTTTGGCACGGGCAGGTGCCTGCCCATGACAATAAGAACTATAATCTATTTGACATCAAGATCACCTTTTTGGGAATTCAGAGATGTGATCTATTGCCCACTCTGGATTTACTTAACCTTTGTAACCCTGGCAAACTTCGTGGCCTTTATGGTTCCCAGATTTCTAACTTACAGAGAGAAGGAGTTGATTCTGAACTGACTTTACAACTCTGATAAAATGTGATTTTATCTATTTATTACTTTGTTTCTTTTTTATTACATACTACTAATTTCGAATCATTGGGAATTTCCCACTAAAGAAGAACGAGTTCTTGCATGCCTGAAGCCCAATCATAAATAATTTTGCAACTTGACTATGACTTAATAAATTTTTAAAAAAAAGAATAGGTTCTTAATACCTTTTTGTACTTAAAATGACTGCTATTCTCAAATTACTTAGGAGAAAGGGATTATATACATTTCAGTTTCCTTTGGTTCTACTTTCAATTGTGGTGTAAGGCATTTACTTCTTTTAAATTCTCATTGAAATTAGAATTATAATCTATTCCCAAGTTTTGTTCAGGGGGCTGAAGGAGGGGTGTATTCCTAATGATTTTGGCCCAGTCAGGCCAATTATTCAACGTGAGGGTCTGAGGATATGGTGCTGGTTAGACCCTGCAGTGCCAGGGACTGCCAGGCCACCCTCGTGGTGTGTGACCCACCAGACCCACCAGAGTTATAACTGACAGTGCTTGAGGGACCATGCGATGTCAGGTATTGAACAGGCTTGGCTCTAAGCAAAGTGTGCACCTTAATCTCCATCCTCTAAAGTGCAGTTTTAATGACATGAAAATTATTGTCAGTTTGGAAACATTTGATGAAAGTTAGCTTGCCAGTATCAGCATCTGAGGACTGAACAGCTCATTCTGAGCCCTCCCTAAACCCCAGGTATAGTGTGAAATAATGATGAACTTTCTGGGGAATAGTGGAAGGCGACACTTCTGGGGAGGCCATTAACATCAAGGGAGAAGCATCTTACTCTCCCAGGGCTCTTTTCCTAATGGAGTCTTTTAGGATAATCTTGACGATGACGTGGTTTATCTCTTAACAAGGGAAATGGACCAACTGAGATGTAGCCTAAAGATAACTTGGCAGGGATAGTAGCCAGAGACATACACACTAAGAGTGCAAAGGCTGTTGGGTACAATAGGAAGGCAATTGGAGAAGTTTTCCATCATATTTTGTAGGAGAATTGCCTAGACGTTGATTCGGAACCTGAGTCAAGGTGTGAATGATGTCTCTATTTGCCTCTCTATTCTTTTAGAGAATAAAGCTATTTTGCCAATCCCTTTAAGTTAAAGCCGAATTTTCTGTGGCTACTGTCTTGTGAGTTGGTCCAGTCAGCTCTGAAAACCCTCTCCCTCTCGCTTTAGGTTTCACTGCACGATTGCGAAGTTTACCAGTTCCATCCGCGTATGGAAACAGCGTCAGCAACGTTCTCCTCACAGCAGAAAAACAGACCTCTCGCCGCTTCCACTTCAAGGTTCTAGCGGGTTTAGAGTCTCAAATTTTAGAGGCATTTGTTCCAAACCTGAAAAGTGAAGTGACCATGAGAAAATAAAGTTTTGCTAAACCAGGGGTTTTCTTTTATGGTGATGATTCTTACGTAGCACCTGGCCGATAGAGCTAAGCTTTTCTTAGTGTGGTAACTCCCTAAATATAGTATAGAGAAAATTGGTGAGTTGGGAAATTCTAGAGATCACAGCTCTCAGCAGATCCTCCTTAAGACTGATTGAGGACATTAGAGGTAAGGGCTGGAATGGGTGATATAAAGTACACATGTCTGTCAGACATTGTGTTCACTGAGTTTGTGCCCAAGTTCCAGTATTATTGGAAGAGAGATTGGGAATCCCAGGTGATGTTTCCATTTTGAAGACAGCGAGGTTTTCATCTTGGTTCTCTTTGCCTTCTTCTCTCTGGGCAGTTGACAGATGCAGACAAGAAAAGATTTGAAGTGCCTCATGAAAATGTGAAACCCTTCCAAGGAAATGCTGCTCCTAACTTGCTCTATGACGTGAAGGTCTCCCAGGAACCTTTTAGTATCCAAGTGATCAGAAAGAGCAATGGGCGTGTTCTGTAAGTATTAAAAACCATTCCAAGGCTCAACAAAGGGAAATTTCTGGGGAAGGGAGACAACTGGAAAAGGATGCATTTCACCAATCTTGCTTGGTTGGTGACCAGACTATACCTCTAAGTGTATACTCTTTTATTTTTGCCCTCCTTCATCTTTCCTACTTCTTTGTTCATTTTTCCTCTTTATTTTCCCTTTTGTATTCTTCATTTTAAAAAATTGAATCATTGTGAAATACAGTTACAAAGTTGTTCATGGTTGGGTTTCAGTCATACCATGTTTCAACAACTATTCCTTCTCCAGTGTAAAATTCCTACAACCAATGTCCCCAGTTTTCCTGTCACCATGCCCCCAGAGCCTCTCTCTCTATATATCTCTCTGTTTCTTTTTCTCTTTCCTTCTGGTCATGATGGTTTGCAATACAGATACTGATAGGTTATCATATATATCCCTTTACCTACCTTTAGCACTCAATTCTTGAGCAGAGCGATCATTTCCAACCACCATCGTCATAGTGGTCCCTTCTCTATCCTAACTGCCTCCACCCTCACCTCATCTTGTTGCCAGCTTCCAGATATAGACCAGTACTCCTAATTCTTGTTACTAATGTCCTTGGGCATTAGTCTCATACTTTTTTTTAATATCCCACAAATGAGTGTGATCAGTTTCTCTTTTTCTGACCCAATTCACTCAGCATGTGTATCTTCCAACTTTCTAATCATTAGTCCAGTCATACCTATTTATGGAATAACTTCTATATCCAGAATAGTGATCTGGTCCTATAGTAGGATGGGTAGAAATAATCCTAAGAAATTCGCAATAAAATACTCACTCTTGAGAAATCCTGAGTTCTTGCATCCATGGAGAACTGTCACAGGAACTCAGCGGGGTGGTTAAATAGAAGTCATGGAATCACTAAAATTTAAGAGCCCTTCTAAGCAATGTGTTGTCTCTACTTTACTTGCCTTTATGTCCCTGTGTTTTGCACGTGTGTCTAGGTTGGACACCAGCATCGGGCCACTCGTATTTTCTGACCAGTTCCTGCAGATCTCTATGCAACTTCCAAGTGCCAATGTGTATGGCCTGGGAGAACACGTGCATCAGCAGTACAGGCATGATATGAACTGGACGACCTGGACTCTGTTCTCCAGAGATACAGTTCCCAATCAGGTAGGCTTTTAGGATATATACCTCTCCAGTGACAAGCTCAGTCTCTCTCTCTCTCTCTCTCTCTCTCTCTCTCTCTCTCTCTTGCTTTTTGGGTCACACCTGGTGATGCACAGGGTTTACTCCTGGCTTTGCACTCAGGAATTATTCCTGGTGGTGCTCAGGGGACCATATGGGATGCTGGAAATTGAACTCTGATCGGACGCATACAAGGCAAACACCCTACCTGCTGTACTATAGCTCCAGCCCCAAGCTCAGTCTCATTTATAAGAGTCATTCCTAGCATAACATTACCATGGTTAAGGTTGAGATTCTAGGTGGAAGTCACTTGGGTCTGGATTCTGGTATTTCTGTCTCTTTCTCCATTTATAAAATGGATCAATATGCTAATCTTATAGGGTTATGATATATCACTGTATCACTGTATCACTGTCATCTCGTTGATCTTCGATTTACTAGAGTAGGTGCCAGTAACATCTCTATTCCTCCCAGCCCTGAGATTTTAGCAGCCTCTTCCTACTCATCTTTTCCCAGTGATTGGAGGCTCTTTCAGGGTGAAGGGAATGAGACCTATTGTCGTTTCTGTATTTGGCATATTGAATACGCCAATGGGAGCTTGCCAGTCTCTGCCCGTGCAGGCGGGATACTCTTGGTAGCTTGCTGGACCATCAGAGAGGCATAAATGGGTAGGAAGTGCCTTATAAGCGGCTTCTCAGCCTCGAGGTCTGGAAAGCAGCCTGGAGCGTGGCGGTAATGGTTAGTGGAGGTTGGCTATCAGGGCTGGGTCCCTTGGGGTGGGGAGGGCTCTCACGCACCCCACAGCCTGGTCTGGAGTCCCAGGGTGATGATATAAGTTAAATGAATTTATAGGCATAGAGACTCAAGAAAACTATCTGCCACATAGTACATATTCTTTATTTATTTTGGTTTGGAGGCCACATCATCACTTCTCAAGAATTACTCTTGGGGGGCCATATCCAGTGCTGAAAGTCAAATCCAGGTCAGGATAATGCAGGACAAACACCTTACCTGCTTACTATCTTACCCAGTACCTGCTCTGTGCTCTTAAATAGTAACTTACTTTCTTAAGTAACGAGTTTCAGAGTTACTATGCATTACTGATAGTTACTAAAAGTACTAATAGTTTAGCAACATAGGATATTAAATTATACTTAATTTAAATTGTGCTGTTTACAATATGTATGAACTCTATTTTTGGTGGGGAATTGACCCTCATAATTTACCAACTTAACAGGGCTGTCAGTAAAAAAAAATAGTTCCATTTTTTTCCTGGCTTTTTTGATCACATCTGACAATGCTCAGGGGTTACTCCTGGCTCTGTATTCAGGAATTACTCCTGTTGGTGTTCAGGGATCAAAACTGGGTCAGCCACATGCAAAGCAAATGAGTCACCCGCTGTGCTCTTGCTCTGGCTCCTATAAAGCTCTATTTTATTTATTATTTGTGTGAAGAAAATTTAGAGCATTGCAAGAACAGAAACAATAGAATTTTTGTGGTTTTTCTCTCTCTTAAGATTTTCTTTTTTTTATTGCATGTCTGTTTGGTTTGACTGGTAAATCCAAAGCAAAACCACTGACAGGTTCTATCCACCACTTATCTGATTACACAGAACTAATGATGGATCAGTGAAGAACACAGGAGCCTTGGATCTTTGATCCTCAAAGTGTATAGCCCGGGATCTCCATTTCCTCTTTCATCTACCAATTTATCTACAATGCCCGTTGCCTGCACACCTAATTTTGAAACATGTCATTTGAGAACAGTGATTCTCAAATGTGTCTGCACATTGGAAAGACAGGGTCAAATTGCACGAAGTATCCATGTCTGTCTCCATACCAAGGGATTCCATTTGGTTTGAGAGATAGCATGTGTCAAAAACTGTTCTTCCCAGCTGTGATAAATACCAGGAGGTTCACGCCATGGCTTTGAGGCCAGCCGCACACTCTAGGGGTAAAGGCAGCTCAGATGGAGAAGGGAGCACCAAATAAAGGGTGCTGGGAAGATGCGCCCAGGACAGGAGATGCATGCTGAAAGTAGTCTCTAGACCGAACATGATTGCCACCCAATGCCTCTTCTACAAACCACAGCACCCAAAAGAAGAGAACAAAAGGGAGTGCCCTGCCACAGAGGCAGGGTGGGATGGGGGATGGGGGGTGGGAGGGATACTGCAATTGGTAAGATGGAGAATGGGCACTGGTGGTGGGTTGGGTACTCGATCATTGTATAACTGAAACCCAAGCACAAAAACTTGTAAGTCTACAACTGTATCTCGTGGTGTTTCACTAAAAAAAATGTTCTTCTAAAACTCTCAAGTCTTTCTTGAGTTTGAAAGACAACTGGTAAGAGGCCTTATGAGGCCTAACAGAAAACTGTTAGAGTTCAGGTATCTGCCTACTAGCCACATATTAGTTGTCTGGCTGATATTAAGACTCTATAAGGTTTAGACTACAAGATTTTACACCTTTATTTTTATACTATCTTGCTGCAGGATAAAACTAACCTGTATGGTGTACAGACATTCTTCTTGTGCCTAGAAGATGCAAGTGGATCCTCCTTTGGAGTGTTCCTGATGAACAGCAACGCCATGGGTAAAGGACTGAAGGAATGTGTGTGAGAAAGTGCATGAGTGACATGTATTCTCTTTCCTGCAGCATTGAGAAAAAAGGAGCAGAGCCCTATAGTGATGGCTAAACCGAAGTTTGGGGTTTCATGTGTTCGTTGACTTCCTGTTCTTTGTTCTTCATTAACATTTCCTGTAGTTCGGGGTTCCTTGCCAGGCTTAAGATGCTGAGTCTAGTTACCTCCGTTGGCCTATTTCATAGAATAGAGGGAAGACAGCTAATGCTAAGACAATTTTTACTAATGTGCTCTTATTCTTTTGACTTTGATCCTGTAGGGGGGGTTGACTGAGGTACTGGTAGGAAACAAACAATTCCTCTGAGTCAGGTGTTGATGATGAAATCTAACCAGGGAGCTAGGATTGAACAGTAAACACTATTTTCTAGCCATCCAAGGTGAGCAAGGTAAAGTGAAGTTCCAGGATCATGCATAGTATCACTGTATCACTGTATCACTATCATCCTATTGTTCATCGATTTCCTTGAGCAGGCACCAGTAACGTCTCCCTCGTCCTAGCCCTGAGATTTTAGAAAGTGCCACATTCGAGGCACTTTCAGGGTCAGAGGAATGAGACCCATCATTGTTACTGGTTTTTGGCATATTGAATACGCCACGGGCAGTTTGCCAGACTCTGCCTTGCGAGCAGGATACTTTCGGTAGCCTGCCAGGTTCTCCAGAGTAAGAACTTGATAATAAGATGTCGCTCAGCCGCAAATGCAGCCGTGCACTTCTGGGAGGTAGGTTTTATAGTCTCTGGCTGTGGCTGGAACTGGAGATCTTCAGCCGCTGGGGCTCTACTCGGGGCACGGAGGGAAACTCAACCTGCCTTCCTCCACGGGCCCCGTGAAGACAGTCAGGCATGGAGGCAGGGGACTCTGCACTGTTCTCTTCCGGGAACTAGGTTTTATAGTCTCTGGGTCTTGTCTGTTGATGGGATTACACAGCACTGGGGCAGAGGGTGGGTGTAATGCCTACATACTGGAAGATGAGGAATCTGGGTGGATGCAGAGTAAGATAAAATTATTTAAGATCAAATGAGGTAACATGGTAGAATACTACAAAGTGTCTAGATAACCCATCTTTGAAGGTTTTAAGAGTCTCACCCTCTACCACCCGAGCTAGCTAGGTATTATTGAAGGTTTTAGACTAGATCAATGTTTCTCATCTTGTTTTCCTATGACATCAGTAGTACACCTCAGGTGGCAATGAATCAGTTACCAGTAAAATCATTGTAGAAAATCAACAATAGATTTTCTCGGTTGATGTTGGGCATTGAACACGGATCTTCTTCTCCCCTGAGAAGCAAAAGACTGGATCTGTGCTACAAATAGTCTGGATGGTTCAGAAACCGTTTTGGACCTACAATGAGATGAGCATAGATATTGAGAGTAAACCCTGCTTTCAAAAATGTAGCCTCCAATTCATTCATGAACCTCTCTCTTGTAAGCCACCTTCAAATCAGTTTACAAATGCATCCACTTTTCAGGGAATTTCAAAGAAAAAATTAAGATGTAAATTTTTCAGCAACTTTTAGAATCTATATATTTGATCTAAGATGATTCTAAGACATTCAATAAAGTCTTGGATGATTCAAAGACTCCAGTGTCTTAAGAATCGATTGGACTGAAAGGAACAGAAAGCAAATTATTCATCTCTCTTCCTCTCTTTCTATATCATCTCTCTCTATCTCTGTATCTATCAATTATTTTGGGAAGTGTTTTTGTGGTGAATTTGACTGGGGTGAGACATCTGTCAAATGGTAACACAGATGCCCTAAGGTGAGCTCAGGGAGGACAGAAACCTCCTGTGAAGTAGAAGGTGAAATGCTTACTTGATCTTGATTTTCAATATGACCATGAAAATGGGGCCTCGAACTTCACTGCAGTGTGCTGGGGCTCACTCTTGTTGTGGTTCTGGGGACCACTTTTTGTGGTGTGAGAATGTGCTGTGGGTAGTACTCAGGCAGTACTCAGGCATCATACTCAGGGGTGTAAGTCAGACCCTCTATCATTAAAACTTTCTACCATCTCTACCACGATGTACTCAGGCAGTACTCGGGTAGTACCCAGGGGTTCAAGGAAAACTCTCTACCACCGCAATTGCCCAAGTCAAGTCAGGTTTCAGGAGAAAGTCCCAGAATCATGACACTATATGAGTTGTTCTATGACCAGGAGTATCACTTCTGAGACTTGTGATTGGGATTTATAATTTATGATACAATGTCTGACTTATTTTGGTTTGTTTGACTCTTGCTTGCTCTGAGAGTCTAGCACCTAGATGGGTTGCATTCTTATAACTTGGAAGATTATGGTAATAGAAACAGCATGTTCTATGACTATGAATATCAGCAAAACTCTATGCTCTTAAGTACAATTCATGGGGACCTATAAAGCAAACTGACAAGACAGGTTAGCAAGACAAAAGGAATTCATCTTAGATCAACAGGACTTTGGAGAAGAGCAGTTAGAGTTGGGTGCTTATAGCCCAGAATTCCTGACAGGTAAATAGGAGAGAGATATTGTCTTTGGCAAAACATAGCTTATAGGAAGAAATGGGATATAGAAAGGGCTCCAGTGGGAAAACAAATGACATGGAACAATAAATGAGGCTGAGGGAGAAAAATTGGGTGAAACAGTCTGCTTGTGAGGACAACTATTTGATGAGATGTAAATTCATTGCCTCAGAGATAATAGAGTTCTCAGGTCGGGGTGTGGTTATTAAATGACCAGGTTATTTATTAGAGAGATTCTGTTTCAGGTTGATAGGGGAGTCCAGAAACTCAAAGACCCTTAACTTAAAGTAGTTTTGGTGCCATAGTAGTTTACTCTGGACTACCCATGAAACTTGTTGCTTTTTGATGGGAGCCTATTTTCTGATAAGGGAATATTATACTGCAAACACCAATGTTGGGAGTCTCTTCTCTTGGGATCTGGGGTGCTGTGAGATTGTAATCAACAGAATTTGTTCCTTCAAAACCAAATATTGTGGCATTGGAGTCAACTTACTTCAGTTCACATGAGTGGTGATCCTCTATTCTAAAATGTCATAATTATTACTCTAGAATAAATTATAACTTATCTCTCCTTTTTTATAAAATCTTTCCAGAGGTTACTCTCCAGCCTGCCCCAGCCATCACTTACCACACCATCGGGGGCATTTTTGACTTCTATGTGTTCCTGGGGGACACTCCAGAGCAAGTTGTTCAAGAGTATCTAGAGGTAATCTCACATTGCCATGGAGCTGACCAAGGAAATCCTAAATAGCACAAACTCAACCAAATAAGCAATGGGGCTCACAAAAAAATACCTATTCTTACAAATCTAGTATTTTGAGTGGACTACCTCAGAGATGATTTATAAAGTGGTTAAAATTTAGAACAATGTTCTGACTTTAGTGGCTAGTATGCAGAGAAAAGGAAGCATGTTCTTTACCTCCAACCAAGGTCTAGAGAAAGTTTTATTAAAACAGAATATTCGCTGGCTTTCTTTCAGCTCATTGGACGGCCAGTCCTTCCCCCCTACTGGTCACTTGGATTTCATCTCAGCCGTTATGGTTATGAATCCCTAGAAAAGATGAAAGCAGTCGTGGAGAGAAACCGGGATGCCCAGATTCCTTATGTGAGTAACGCTTTAGGAAGCCTCCCTAACCAGAATCTTCTTGTCTGTACTTTCTCCCCCTGAGTGATACACACAAGAGTTTTAAATAGGCAAAGGACAGACAATTTTTCTTGACCAGCCATTCTCCCATGAACAGGTTCATTTTAGTAGGAAACAGTACTCAAATGCCATACTTAGGAGGTTGGAGGCAATTCATTTATTTGCCTTTTTTTTCTTATGTCTTATTAGGAAAGTTTTCTTGACTTCCTTTCATATAATGCATTTTTGAGTTCTTCAGCCATTTTTTCCTTGTTTAACTGACAAATGATGCAGTCTATGCATGTAATTATTTTTAATGTTTTGAGTGGATGAATCTAATATGTCAAAAAAGAGACGAGTTTACTAGAGAGACAAAGGGTTAAAGCGAAAACTTTCTGAAATAACTTACTTTTCATTACATCATTCCCTGAGAGGCAGACATTTAGTCCCTAGAACAAGAGTAAATTTTGTTTTGGGGTCCATGCTTTTATTTAGGCAATCTTCAGAAGGAATAATTGAAAAAGACTTGACAAATTGATAAAGTAGAAGAGAAAAAGAAAATAATGTGGGGTAGTAAAGTGAAATGAAAGAAGTGGGAGAGGCAGTCCCTTTCCCCTTTATCTTGAATTGATTAGGATTTATGTCATAGGCATGTATATATACACATACTAGTATATATATGTATATATATATAGAGAGAGAGAGAGAGACATCTCTGACTCTGTATATATTTTTCAGCCCTCTCGGCTTTCTATTTTCTTTTTATAGACATTTAAGACAGTTTCTGACATCTGACAGTTCCTCAGAACGCACCACTTTGAGGAAATAGCATAGAAAAGCATAAAATGAGACCTGTAGTGCTAAGATTTCAAACCACGCGTGAGAAGACTTGACTTTTTTTTAATATTTATTAGTGAAATACCATGAGGTACGGTTGTAGACTTACAATTTTTTATGCTTGGGTTTCAGTTATACAATGATCAAGTACCATCCCTCCACCAGTGCCCGTTCTCCACCACCAATGATCCCAGTATCCCTCCAACCCACGCCCCATCCCCCGATCCCATCCTGCCTCTATGGAAGGGCATTTCCTTTTGTTGTCTCTCTCCTTTTGGGTGCTGAGGTTTGCAAAAGAGGCATTGAGTGGCAATCATGTTCGGTCTATAGTATACTTTCAGCATGCATCTACCATCCTAGAAGGATCCTCCCAACACCCTTTACTTGGTGTTCCCTTCTCTATCTGAGTTGACTTTTCCTCTAGCATGTGCAGCTGATCTTCAAGCCATGGAGTGAAACTCCTGATACTTATCTCGACTATTCTTGGATGTTAGTCTCCTATTTGTTACTTTATATTTCCCAGATGAATGCAATCTTTCTATGTCCTCTCTTTCTGACTCATTTCACTTAGTGTACTTTCCATGTGGTACCACTTGTATGTAAATTTCATAACTTCATCTTTTGTAACAGCTGCGTAGTATTCCATTGTGTAGATGTACCAAAGTTCCTTTAACCAGTCATCTGTGCTCGGGCACTCAGGTTTTTTTCCAGATTCTGGCTATTGTAAAGAGTGCTGCAATGAACAAACAAGTGCAGATGTCACTTCGACCATACATCTTTGCCTCTCTGGGATATATTCCCAGGAGTGGTATTGCTGGGTCAAATGGAAGCTCAATTTCTAATTTTTTGAGAATCATCCATATTGTTTTCCAAAAGGACTGAACCAGTTGGCATTCCCACCTGCAGTGAAGGAGGGTCCCTTTCTCACCACATCCATGCCAACACCAGTTGCTTTTGTTCTTTTGGTTGTGGGCCAGTCTCTGTGGTATGAGATGGTATCTCATTGTTGTTTTGATCTGCATCTCCCTGACAATTAGTCATGTAGAGCCTTTTCTCATGTGCCTTCTTGCCATTCTGATTTCTTCTTTGAGAAAGTTTCTGTTCATTTCATCACCCCATTTTTTGATGGGGTTGGATGTTTTCTTCTTGTGGAGTTCAACCAGTACTTTGAATATCCTTGATATCAACCCCTTGTCAGATGGGTACTGGGCAAATATCCTTTCCCATTCTGTAGACTGTCTTTGTATTTTGCTCACTGTTTCTTTTGAGTTGCAGAATCTTCTTAGTTTAAGATAGTCCCATTTGTCTATCTCTGTTTTCACTTGCTTTGCCAGTGGTGTGTCATCTTTGAAGATACTATTAGCTTCAATGTTGTGGAGGGTTTTGCTAAACTTGTATTCAATGTAGCTATTGATTCTGGTCTGATGTTGAGGTCTTTAATCCATTTTGATCTTACTTTTGTATATAGTGTTAGGTAGAAGTCTGAGCCCATTTTTTTGCATGTAGCCATATAGTTTTGCCAGCACAATTTGTTAAAGAGGCTTTCCTTGTTCCACTTCACATTTCTTGCTCCCTTATCAAAGATTAGATGATCATATGTTTGAGGGGAGATGCCAGTATATTCAACCCTGTTCCCTTGGTCTGTGGCTCTGCCTTTGTTCCAGTACCATGCTGTTTTAATTATTACTGTTTTGTAATAGATTTGGGAAGGTTGATTCCTCCTGTTTTCTTTTCCCCAAGAATTGCTTTAGCTATTCGTTGGTTCTTATTGTTCCATATGAATTTCAAGAGTATTTGCACCATTTATTTGAAGAATGTCATGGGTATTCTTATAGGGATCTCATTGAATTTGTACAATGCTTTGAGAAGTATTGCCATTTTGACAATGTTAATTCTCCCGATCCACGAGCAGGGGATATCTTCTCATTTCCTTGTGTACTATTTTATTTCCTGAAGTAGCATTTTTTAGTTTTCTTTGTACAGTTCTTTTACGTCCTTAGATAAGCTGATTCCTAGCTACTTGCTTTTGTGAAGCACAATTGTGAACAGTATGGTTTTTTTTATGTTATTTTCTTCTATCTCTTATTATTTGTGTATATGAAAGCCATGGATTTTTAGTTATTGATTTAATAGCCTGCAACATTACTATACAAGTGTAGTGTTTCTAAGAGTTTTTTGGTAGATGTTTTAGGGCTCTCTAAGTATAGTATCATGTAATCTGTGAATAGTGAGAGCTTGATTTCTTCCTTTCCTTTCTGAATGCCCTTAATATCTTTTTGTTGCCTGAGCACTATTGCAAGTACGTCCACTACTATATTGAACAGCAATGTATAGAGTGGGCATCCTTGTCTCATCCCTGATCTTAGAGGAAAGGCTCTTAATTTTTCCTATTAAGGATGATGCTTTTCATAGGCTCGTGTTAGATGGCTTTAACTGCAATGAGGAAAGTTCGTTCTAGTCCCATTTCGGGTTTCCATCAGAAACAGGTGCTGGATCTTCTCAAATGTTTTCTCTGCATCTATTGATATGATTATATGGTTTTTATCTTTTATTTTGTTGATATGATGAATTATTTTGATTGATTTATGAATGTTAAACCATCCTTGCATCCCCGGGATGAATCTCGCTTGGTCGTGGCATAAGATCATTTTGATGAGTTGTTGAATTCTATTTGCTAATATTTTGTTGGGAATCTTTGCATCCATGTTCAACAGGGATATCGGTCTGTAGTTTTCTTTTCTTGTGGTGTCCATGTTTCCTTTTGTATTAGAGAGATATGAGCTACATAGGAACTGTTTGGGAGAGTTACTGTTTCCTTAATTTCCTGGAAATGCTTGAGAAGAACTGGCAAAAGGTCCTCTTTACATGTTTGAAAAAATTTTCTAGTGAATCCATCCGGGCCTGGGCTTTTGTTTTTGGGAAGACTTTTGATTACAATTTCAATTTCCTTGATGTTAATAGGACTATTCAGATATTCTAGATCTTCTTGATTCAGCCTTAGGAGACTATAAGAATCCATGAATTTATCCTTTTCTTCTAGGTTCTCTTGTTTCGTGGCATACAGACTTTGAAAATAGTCTTTGATGATCTTTTGAAAATTTTTGATTTCTGTTGTGATATCCCCCTTCTAAATTCTGATTCAGTTTATTAGGATTCTCTCTTTCCTTATTTGTGAGTCTTGCTAATGGTTTATGTATCTTGTTTGTTTTCTCTAAGAATCAGCTCTTGGTTTCATTGATCTTTCAGATTGTTTTTTGGGTTTCCATGTCATTGATTTCTGCTCTAAGTTTTATGATCTCTTTCCTTCTGCCTGGTTTGGGCTCCTTTTGTTGGTCCTGTTCAATGATCTTGAGCTGTGAAGTCAAGTTTTTATGTGGGCTCTTTCTTTCTTCCTGAGAAATGGTTGAAGTACTATAAATTTTCCCCTTCACACTGCTTTAGCTGCGTCCCATAAGTTCTGGTAGCTCGTTTCTTCATTCTCATTTGTTTCCAGGTATCTTTTGATTTCGTCCTTGACTTTCTTCATGACCCACTTGTTCAACATTGAGTTGTTTAATTTCCAGGTGTTTGATTTGGTTCTCTGTGTCTTTGTGTGATTTGATTCTATCTTCAGTACATTGTGGTCTGAAAAAAATGTTTATACTATTTCTATCTTTATGCTTCTATTGAGGTATGTTTTGTAGCATAGCACATGGTCTATTTTGGAAATTGTTCCAAGTGCACTGGAGAAGAATGTGTATTCTTTCTTTTTGGAGTGTAAAGTCCTGTATAGGTCTATAAGTCCTCTCTCTTCTATTTCTTTCTTCAAAGCCAATTTTCCCTTTCTGAGTTTTGTTCTTGTCGATCTCTCCATAGGTGATAAGGTGATGTTGAAGTCTCCATATACTATTGTATTGCTAGCAATGTCCTCCTTAAAATCTGTTAGCATTTTTTAAAATATTTAGCCTTTCCCTCATTAGGTAAGTATACATTTAAGAGTGTGATTTCTTCCTGTTGTACATATCTCTTGATGAACAGAAAATGGCCGTTGCTATCCCTTCTTATCTTTGTCAAACTGAAGTGTATATTGTCGGATGATAGTTGGCCACACCAGCTATTTTTGAGGGAGCTGTTTACTTGCAGGATTGTTTTCCATCCTTTAACTTTGAGTCCGTGTTTGCTCTGACTCTCCAGATGAGTTTCTTGGAGGCAGCAGAATGTTGCCTGTCTCTGAATCCATTTTGCCACTCTGTGTCTCTTAATTGGTGAATTTAGACCATTGACGTTGAGAGAGATTGTTGTTATGGGATTTGTGTCATCTTTCTGTAAGTGTTTGTGTGCTTATAGCATTTGTCTTATAGTAGCCCCTTTAGCCCTTCTTTTAGGTTTGGTTTTGAGTCTATGAATTTCCTGAGCTGTTGTTTATCCATGAAATAGTGTACTGTTTCTTCGAGTTTGAGTGAGAGTTTAGCCAGATAGAGTATTCTTGGTGAAGCATTCATTTCATTTCAGTGAGTTTTTTCAGTATATCCCACCATTGCCTTAGGGCTTGGAGGGTTTCCTCTGATAGGTCTGCTGTGAATCTAAGGGGCGCTCCTTTGTATGTGATTTCCTTCTTTCACCATGCTGCTTACAGTATTTTGTCTCTTTCGGCAGCATCCATAATTCTAACTATGATATGTCTTGGAGTGTTTTTGTTAGGGTCTCTTTAAGCTGGCACTCTGAGGGCTCCTTCAATGTGAATGGCTTCATTATCTAGCTCTGGGAATTTTTCAGCAATGATTTGTTAAACTATGACTTTTTCATGGGGATTGTTTCCCTGAGATTCTGGTACTCCAATGATTCTAATGTTATTCCTCTTGAAATCATCTCCTAGGACTCTAATTCACTCTAGAGCTATTTCGAGGTCTCTTGCCTTTGTTTCTTGTTGCCTGTAGGCTTCCTGCAGCTGATCTTCCAGCTCACTGATTCTGTCTTCAGCTGTAGCCATTCTACTGTTGAGGGCACGCACTGAGTTTTTTATTTCATCTACTGAATCCTTTATTCGTGACACTCTGTGCGTAGCTTTTCAATTTCTGCTCTCAGTTCTTCCTGTAATTTCTTGGTTGTCCGATCCATTGTTTCTTTCATATCCTCCTTTAATGGAGCGATAGCACAGCAGCAGAGCATTTGCCTTGTGCGCAGCCAGCCCGGCCGAGCCGGGTTCGATTCCTCCGCCCCTCTCAGAGAGCCCAGCAAGCTACCGAGAGTATTTCGCCCACATGGCAAAGCCTGGCAAGCTACCTGTGATGTATTCAATATGCCAAACACAGTAACAACAAGTCTCAAAATGGAGACATTACTGGGCCCGCTCGAGCAAATCAATGAACAACAGGAGGACAGTGCTTCAGGGCTAACTTTGTCACTGTTTCTTTGTGTCCATTGAACATCTTCACTACTTCATATCTGAATTCTTTATCAGAGAGGTTCCTTAGGTGAGTAACACCTAATGAGGCTTCTGTATTCTTTTCATTATCCTCTCCTCGTGGTGGTAATTTGTGTTGTTTCTTCATGTTGGTGTGATGGTATGGAGACTGAGGGATGGAGAGATTTGGCATAGCTTTGGGGATGAACAGGAAGAGGTTCTGTATATATTTTTGACAGCTTTAGTAATTTTTAAAAATAATTGTGAAGTATCAGTGAGTTGATTTTTTATGCCTGTGGTGAGTGTGAGTCTCGTTACTCTGTTTGACATAACACAGTAACAAGTTCAGTGTGAGACTTGTTACTGTGTTTGCATAACATAGTAACAAGTCTCTCAATGTTACTGGGCCCACATGAGCAAATCACAATGGGAGGACAGTGACAGTGACAGTGACAGTGGTCAGGGTAAGGTAGGATGATCTTAATAACGTGATCTTTGGGTGAGATCAAGTCCTAGGTAAAATCTGATCACTTGCTTTGGAAATTAGCTTTGGGAAAGAAACACTTCAATGTCAGGGCTGGATCCAGATGATAGGAATGAAGTGGACACTCTGGTGAAGAATGGTGTTGGAAGACTATGTTTGAAATCCTGTCATTAACGGTAATGCTTCTTATGACATCTCAAATAAAATTAGGAAAACTAAAAAAGAGCTCTCTTGAGAGTCCCTCACAGAATCAGTTGTTCTGAGGAATAATCATAATGGTAAGTTTTCCAACTCATTTTAAAAACAAAACTCCTAGGTGCTGATTTGTGGGCATCTGTATATTTTCAGGATGTGCAGCATGCTGATATCGACTATATGGATCAAAGAAGGGACTTCACTTACAATCCAGTACAATATAAGGACTTCCCTGAGTTTGCTAAGGAGTTGCACAAAAATGATCAGAAATTGGTCATCATTGTGGTATGTGCCACTTCAACCCCCTTCTTTGCCTATCAATTCCCAATATATTTTCTTTTATTTTTTATATATTTTTAAAATTTAGTTAAAAAAGCATGACTCACAAAGTTATTGATCCAGTATCTTTTCACTGCCTCTAACTTAACATAACAATATTCATTGTCCCTCCTGCCCTCTTTCTAGGATCCAGCCATCTCTAATAACTATTCTAAAACTAATCCCTATGGACCATATGAGAGGGGCTCAGAAATGAGTGTGTGGGTACAAGCTCCTGATGGAACTCCAATCATTGGAGAGGCAAGTCAAAGAGGGAAGTTGTGAAATGGCAGGTGGGGGGGCTGTTTTGTGTGTGTGTGTGTGTTGTGTGTGTGTGTATCTGTGTAAAATTGTTTTGTTTTGTTTCCAGTTCCCTTATTTGTTTGGGATAAACTTTACCATTCATCTTTCTTCCCTGAATACCTACCCATTTTCCTCATTTTTACATTCCAAGAACTGTCAACTCCCTTGAAACAATAGCCTGTGCTCCTACTGGGATGTCAGTTTTACTGTCAAATTTAGAGGTGTCCAGGAGCTGTGGAACTGGGACAATTGGCATGTCTTTGAGATTAGCTTAAAAAACTACTCTCTAACTATATACTCAGTCAATTAATTAATTAATTAATTTGTTGATCAATTCTTTTGGCGTCACACGCAATGCTAGTTAGGGTTTATTCTCAGGACTACATGCAAGAATCACTTCTGGCAGTGCTTGTGGGACCACATGAGGTGCTGGGGATTAAACCTTTGTTGGCTGCATACAAGGCAAGTGCCTATCACAGCCCTCTATTCAGTCAATTTCATCTGATCAGTAATATTTTTCCTCTGCTACAGGTCTGGCCTGGAAAAACTGTGTTTCCTGATTATACCAACCCTCAGTGTGCTGCTTGGTGGACAGGTGAATTTGAGCATTTCCATAAAGAAGTGGAGTTTGATGGAATCTGGATTGTGAGTCTTTAATATTTTTATTTTATTTTCATTGACTGACATACAAGCTGTTTAAATTTGTACCATAAAATCATAGAGAGTAGAAGGAAGGGGAAAGAAAAGCAAGGGTAGCAATTATGCCTCCATCAAATACTCTGTCTTACTATTTCAACCATCTTCCTGAAACATTTAGCTTAGTGTCAAACTAAAATTATTAGTGTTGGAAGTTAACTCAGACCTTCTCTTTTCCCCAAGCCTTACTTTTCTTTATAAATGAATGAGATAAAGTAAAAATACATCATGCTGTTGCAAAGTATAGGACCTATTAATGACCAGTTCAGAGCTCTTTCATTTGCACATGTTGGACAAACTGTTCAGAGCAAAAGTCTCCAGGTGTCTGACAAAACCATGGCAGTGTTATGGTTTAATGCCTCCCGCAAGATTAATTAAAAACAAATGTAAAACAGTAGCTGTTCAGCAATATTCAGTAAGCTCAAGAACTGGACATTTTTCTATTTATTAGAGAAATGTAGAATATTTTAATTATCTATAGATCTAAAATGCTGGAAGGAAAAGCCTTCTAAAATGATATTAATCAACCAAAGACTTTGGTTGGCATCTCAATTACATAGCAGCTAGCACAAGATTGCCCTCTCATTTTTTTATGTCTATGAAATGCATTTTTTGTGGGTTGACAGCTTTATTTGTATATGTAGAGAAGGTACAAATCGTATATGCAGGTAATAATAAAATATTTTTCTTTTTTGGAGAGTTTTCAGTCCTAGTAGTTAAAATCATATCATCTCAAAGGGAGTCTAAGAAACTTCAGCATGAAATCTTCAGTGGGTTAAGGAGACAGGAAGATTTATTTCTTCCTATGTACACAGAATTTCTTTTAAATGGGAATGTCTATGATGATTTCTCTGATTATTTACATAAAGAGGATACCATTAGTATAAGACAATGCATTTTCTTGATACTTTTCCCTGTCTTGTAGGATATGAATGAAGTTGCCAACTTTGTGCGTGGTTCAGTTACGGGATGTTCCAAAAGCTCTCTAAATTATCCCCCATTCACTCCCAGTAAGTCTTGCTGGCATATTTGGTGCTTTATATTAGAATAGAAATGAGCAAACTGGTAAGGACATTTGCATGTAACTGGGCACAGGAAAAGAAAAATGTGGGAGTGTACACAAAAAAACTGTCACTGTCCTCCCATTGTTCATCGATTTACTCGAGCGGGCCCAGTAATGTCTCCTTTGTGACACTTGTTACTGTGTTTGGCATATCAAATACATCACGGGTAGCTTTCCAGGCTTTGCCGTGCGGGAGAGATACTCTTGGTAGCTTGCCAGGCTCTCCGAGAGGGGCAGAGGAATTGAACCTGGGTCAGCCGCGTGCAAGGGAAACTCCCTACCCCCTGTGCTACCACTCCAACCCATGCACAAAACTAAGAAAGAAAATCAAAGTACTTTATATGTTCCTTTAGCGACATAAGTTCAGAATAGATAAGCTGTAGTATAAATTGTTTTGAGAAGACCCAGAGCAGAAGACAGGGGAAAGGGATACTGGTTAGTTTATGTAGATCTCAAGTGTGTTAATCTTTAGACCAGACTTACCAAAGAGAGATCACAAAACCAGGCTTGTTTTTTAGATGATGATTAAATTTGATAATATTAAGAATGTAAGGAACCATAAGGGTAGTCAGAGCCTATGACTTGTGAGGTCAAATCAGTGAATATGTTTGTGTGCTCTGATTGAATTTTGACAATATTAGGGTTGTAGTTCTGCAATCACAGAACTTATTGTATATAGAAAACTTTGTAGCTAGAGCTCACCGAGGAGTTGTCTTGTCTTTTTAAAGAAATGAACATTGAGAACCAAAGAGATAGTAGAGCAAGTTAATGGCACTGCCTTACACTCCTGGCCAACCTGGGCTTAATCCCTAGCACCCTATACTATTCCCTGGCAGGAACTATCCCTGAGTGCAGAGCCTCCAGGAATAAGTCCTGAGTACTATTGGGTGTAGCCCCCTAAATAACATAATACAAAAATTAATGGATCAGGCCGAAGAATATGATGAGAAAGTAGGATTATAACATCTTGTAAAGACTTCCTATCTCCTGGTGGGAAAATAGAAATTTGGGACAGATAGTTTGGAATGAAAAGTAAAGGGATTCAAATCTATGGTGAAACAGTTTGCTCTTTATTCTTTTGACTATAGAGACTGTTCTTTGTTTAGTAAGAGAAAAATAGAATAATGAAATGGCTTTAGAAATATTGATCTGACATTAATGTATGGCATGAATTCAATGATTAATAAATTAGAAGCAAGCAAACTATTGAAAAATTATGCAATCATTAAGATCTAAGTCAAATTGTATCTGAACCAGTGAAGTTCAATAGGAAGTTAAAAGAGATGAATAAAAGAGAATGACGTTCCATTCTTGACTACATCTTATCAGAGGAGTGAAATTGTAAGTAACACTTTCAGGCAATATCACTGTCCTTTTCTAAAAAAAATTAAAATCTGAATCACAGTGAGGACACAGTTACAAAGTTGTTCATGATTGGTTTCAGCCATATAATATTCCAACAACATCTCTTTACCAGTGTGCATTTCCTACCACAATGTCCCTAGATTCCCTCTGCCTTCCCCCTACCTGCATCTATGGCAGGCAATCTCTCTCTTTCTCTCTCTCTCTCTTTCTCTCTCTCTCTCTGTGTCTTTCCTTTTGGGGCTTATAGTTTGCAGTACAGATAGTGAAAGGTTATCAGGTATATCCCTTTACCTACTTTCAACACTCAGTTCCTATCCAAAATGAACATTTCAAACTATTATTGTCTTCCTGATCCCTTCTATATCCTTACTGCCCTTCATCCCCAGACACTCATAAGGCAAACATTGAGTAGTCCTCCTGGCCCCTGATTTCCCTGGCCATGGATATTAATCTCAGACAAATGCAGCCATTCTATATTTGTCTCTTCTGACTCATTTTCATTCAACATGATACTCTCTATGTCTGTCCATTTATAAGCAAATTTCATGACTTTATTTTTCCTAAAGGCAGTGTAGTATTCTATTATGTAGATGTACAATAGTTTCTTTAGCCCATCATCTGTTCTTGGGCACTCGGGTTGTTTCCAGATTCTGGATCTTGTGAATAGTGCTGCAATGAATACAGGAGTGCAGATGAGAGGCTAGAGCGATAGCACAGAGGGTAGGGCATTTGCCTTGCACGAGGCCGTCCTCAGTTCGATTCCCAGCATCCCATATGGTTCCCCGAGCACTGCCAGTAGTAATTCCTGAGAGCATGAGCCAGGAGTAACCCCTGTGAAATGCCAGGTGTGATCCAAAAATCAAAAAAAAAAAAAAGAAGTGCAGATGACATATCTTCTGTGTATCCCAGGGTATATCCTGGAAATGGTATTGCTGGGTCTAATATGAGCTCAATTTCTAGATTTTTGAGGAATGTCAATATTGTTTTTCGAAAAGGCTGGCCCAATTAGCATTCCCACCAATAATGAAGGAGAGTTCTTTTCTCCTGTATCTGCGCCAGCACTTGTTGCTCTGTTTTTGTTTTTGGTTTTGGGTTTTTTTTTTAATATGTACCAGTCTCTGTGGTGTGAGATGATATCTCATTGTTGTTTTGATTAGCATATACTGATGATTAGTGATGTAGAGCAGTTTTTCATGTGCCTTTTAGTTATCTGAATTTCTTCTTTGAGGAAGTTTCTGTTCAGTTTTTTCTCCCCATTTGAAACAATTATTTTATTTTTATAAAATTGCTCACAGTTATTTATTACATTCAATATTCTAACACCAATCCCACCACCATTACACCTTCCCAGCACCATTATTTCTTATTATCCCAATCACCACCCACACCTGCCCCAACAGCAGGCCCTAAATGATTTATTTTGCATTGATAACTTGTTGCTACAGAAAAGCCTTGTGTGTTAATATTTTCTTAACTGATATTGGTAGCCTTCTACTTTATATATCTTCCATTGTGGTGTACTACTCACGGTGGGCTGGAGCGATATAGCACAGCGGGTAGGGTGTTTGCTAGGCCAACCCCGGTTTGATTCCTCCGCCCCTCATGGAGAGTCCAGCAAGCTACTGAGAGTACCTCGCCCACACAGCAAAGCCTGGCAAGCTACCCATGCCGTATTCGATATGCCAAAAACAGTAACAACAAGTTCTCACAATAGAGACGTTACTGGTGCCCACTTGAGCAAATCAATGAACAATGGGAAGACAGTGCTACAGTGCTACTCATGGTAGATCATGCAGAGCATGAGATGTCCTGTGGCCATTTTCATGGCCACACACTCCAGTAATTCTAAAATTTTGATTCCTCTCTCATTTTTTATGCGGTTGGATTTTTTTTTTGTAAAGAACTGCCAGTGTCTTATATCACTTTGATATTAACCCTTTGTCAGATGAATATTGGGTAAATAATTTTCCTATCTGTGTGCTATCTCTGTAAGTAGACACCATTTCCTTTGAGGTGTATAAGTTTTGTAATTTAATGTAGTCACATTCATTTATCTTAGCTATCCTTGCTTGTTTAGTGATGTTTTATCTTTGAAGATACCTTTTCCTTCAATGTTATGGAAGTTTTGCCTACTTTTTCTTCTATGTACCTTATGAATACAGGTCTGATGTTAAGATCTTTAATTAATTTTGATCTGACTTCTGTGCATGGCATAAGAAAGAATTCTAAATTCATTTTTTTTTTGCAGGTAGCTGCCCAACACCACTTGTTGCCCCACTTCATATTTGTTGTTCCTTTATCAAAGATTAAATGATCATATATTTGAGGGTGTGTGTCAGGATATTCAACTCTATTCCATTAGTCAGCAGGTCTGTCTTCATCGCAATACCATGCTGTTTTAATTACTACCACTTTATAGTACAGTTTGGAGTTGGGAAAGGTGATGCCTCCCATCTTCTTTTGAATACCACTATTCTTGAACCACTTAACAGAGCTCCAATTGAAGAACTGAGGTTGTACTACTGGTCTAACTCGGTCCTCTTACTTCCAAATGCCTGCTTGTGGTCAACTGAGTTCCCTGGAAAGATAATGTGTATAAGCTATCAGAGAAACTACTGTACCTATGTAGAAAACTGATAATATGAAAGCTGGGTGATCTTTAGGAGGACAGCCATGTTCAGTGCCAGTTCAACAGGACACCTTTTCTAATTCTATGATGGTCTAGGAATAGAGACTTTCATTCTAAGACTTTGAATGACTGATAAATTTCTCTCTTTTGTCCCAGAAATCCCGGATGATTTCTTGTTCAGCAATACTCTCTGCTTAGATGCGGTGCAGCACTGGGGCAAGCAGTATGATGTCCACAGCCTGTATGGCTACTCCATGGCAATTGCCACAGCAGAGTAAGGCCACTGTTGTTATGCTTTCATGGGAGCCAAATGATTGATCTGGGTAGATTCCACATCAGTTTACCATTTTAAAGAACTCTACAAAATAAGCAGATTTAGTGATATTGATGAAAGAAGATACTACCTGGCACATAGGGAAGAAGGAATCCAATATATATTTGTAGGAAGCATAAAATAAGAGAAAAAATAATGGCAAAAATGAATGAATGATATTGAAGAGTAGCTTTAATGGGGTCTAGGGATTAATCAATAAGTTGTAAAAGCAGAAATCAAATCCATTTCTGTGTAAGTCTGGAAATCACACATTTTCCTTTGGGTCACATTGTGTAGAATAGAATATGAAGGACTGAGTAGTTTCCAGACCTCACATGTTTTGGGGTTTTAGATACAGACTCAGCATCTGTTCCTGTGCTTTATTTACATTTGTGTGTGAACCCATTATACAGGGATAAAGATGAACTGATAATCATATCCTGACACTGTAACAACAAGAGAATCAGACCCAAACCCCAAATAGTTAGTACCACAGTCATAGATGCAATTCCACCCTTCTTGAAATTAATTGAAAAAAGTTATGGAGCATAAGCTTTTCAGGATAGATGGGCTGATGTGATAGTAAAGCTAGCAGGGTACTTGCCTTGAGGGACTTAATCCCCAGTGCCACAAATGGTCCCTAAGTCACACCAGGAGTTATCCTTGAATGCAGAGCTAGGAGTAATTCCTGAGCACTGGTGGATGTGGCTCCCAAATAAAATAATGTGTATAGGCATTCAAGTTAAAAGTACAGATTATTCACATTTATGTTCACTTATAAAAATGCACTGGTACAAATAGAATTCTTTTGGTAATTTTTTTCAAAGTGTTGTTCACAAGAATTTATTACATTCAATATTTCAGCACCAATCCCACCATCATTACACCTTCCCACCACCATTATTTTAAATTTTTCTACCACCACTCAAACCTGCCCCCAAAGGAGATGCAAACAGCTATTAATGATTGTTTGGAGGGAAATACATCCACCTTTAGCAAATTGCACCATATCATTTTTATTGTGGTGCTAATAGGCTACCAAGAGTATCTCACCCATACGGCAAAGCTAACCATGACATATTCGATATGCCAAACACAGCAACAACAAGTCTCACAATGGACATGTTACTGGGCCCCTCGAGCAAATCAATGAACAATGGGAGGACAGTGACAGTGACAGTGAACAGTGCTGCCATAAACATATAGGTACCGATGTCATTTCTACTGTGCTTTTTCGCATCCTCGGGATGCAATACCAGAAGTGGAATTGCAGGGTCATATGGAAGCTCAATTTCTAGTTTTTGAAGGAATGTCCATATTGCCAAGAACAACCTTTGAGGAGAATACTAGAAACAAAGAAGCCGGGGATTACTCACTGTTTAGATCCTCGTGTTGTGGCTTTCTCCCTTGAGCTGGAGCACACTAATACCTTCTAACTCCCCAAATCCCTCTCTTTCTCTCCTAGAGCTGCCAAGAAAGTATTCCCTGGAAAGAGGAGCTTTATACTCACCCGCTCTACCTTTGCGGGATCTGGCAAGTTTGCAGGCCATTGGCTAGGAGACAATGCAGCTACCTGGGATGACCTCCGCTGGTCCATTACTGGCATGCTCGAGTTCAACCTTTTTGGTATTCCAATGGTCAGTCCGTATTTTAAGCACTTTCACAAACCACAATTCTTAGAAATTCCCATTCTAGAAACTTTCCAAATCATAAGGCTCCCCTTTATACCCTGCATGTCCAGAAATTTACTCTTTTGAGTGCACGTGTTCTTTTGAAAGTGGAGCACATAAGTCTGCTCCCATGGTATTCTTTCTTGGGCTGCCTTATAAAGATAAAAGTAAAACCTGGTATAATATATGTGCAATAATATGCTCAAGTTCCTTATACATGCTATGGATCCTTTCACAAACTGAACACGTCTCTGAATCCTGCACTCAGAGAGGTGCATGATGCTGCCTGCATTCAAAACGGCTTTGAAACGTTTTAGTTAAATTCAAAGTATATATCCACTGAGGTCATCTATGTGCAAAGTGTTGACTAGGTATGCCTGATGATGATGGCAAATGAAAGAACTATGCTGTTATAAACAGCTTCTCTTTCTCCAAAGACTTCACAATTTAGTAAGAGAAGATATAGAAGCAAGCAAATCATTATGACAAGTGGCAATAGGGAAGAATAATTAAAGAATATGTAATGAAATGAGAGGAGAGATTTCGAGAAAGGGATTTACTAACTCTGACAAGGATATGACATACAATGAAGTTGAAGAAGAGCGTTGAGAGAAACCCTCTGGAGAACTTGACACTTATCTTTGAAAAAAATACGTATTATCAGAGTCACAAGGTAGGTTCAGAAGTGAATATAAGCAAAAGCAGTTAGGGGGCTCATTTGATGTGATTCTAAGGATTGGTGTGTACAAGTAGAGTAGGCAGTGCTTTGGGGAAGTTTGTTTGGAACTATGTATTGAGGAATAAAAGAGTAAGCCCCAATGGTACAGAGTATACTTTAATAGGGGAGTGGCTGTGGGGCTGTGTGCCCGACATTTGGAAGATTAATTCTAATAGTGTGTGGGCAAAGTAATAATACCTTGTAGATGGATAGATAGTAGAGTGACTAGAATGCTGGCCTTGAAGCAGCTGACCCGCGCTCAATACCTGATGCCCCATATGGTCCTCTGATCTCTTCAGGAGTGACCCCTGAGCACTGAGCTAGAAGTAAGTCCTGAGCACCAGTGGTCGACCCAAAACAAACAAAAAAATATATACCATCAGTATTTCTAAGTACCCTTCATCAAAAAGGGATTTACTTATATTACCCCATTTAGCACAGCTGGAGCGATAGCACTGCGGGTAGGGCGTTCGCCTTACACGCGGCCAACATGGCCGACCAGAGTTCGATTCCTCCGCCCCTCTTGGAGAGCCCAGCAAGCTACCGAGAGTATCTTGCCCGCACGGCAGAGCCTGGCAAGCTCCCCGTGACGTATTCGATATGCCAGACACAGTAACAACAAAGTCTCCAATGGAGACGTTACTGGGTCCGCTCGAGCAAATCGACGATCAACGGGAGGGCCTTTATTTAGCACAGCTGGTAGGGCGTTTGCCTTGCACGCAGCTGACCCAGGTTTGATTCCTCCACCCCTTTTGGAGAACCCGACAAGGTACTGAGAATATCTTGCCCGCATGGCAAAGCCTGGCAAGCTACCTGTAACGTATGATATGCCAAAAATGGTAAAAACAAGTCTCACAATTTTTTGTGAGACATTACTGGTGCCCGCTCGAGCAAATCCATGAACAATAGGAGAACAGTGCTACAGTGCAACCCATTTACTAAAACCCTATGTACTCAGCTGGAGCGATAGCACAGCGGGTAGGGCGTTCGCCTTACACGCGGCCAACATGGCCGACCCGAGTTCGATTCCTCCGCCCCTCTCGGAGAGCCCGGCAAGCTACCGAGAGTATTCGATATGCCAGACACAGTAACAACAAAGTCTCCAATGGAGACGTTACTGGGCCCGCTCGAGCAAATCGATGATCAACGGGAGGGCCTTTACCTTTACCTTTACCTATGTACTCATTTAATACAAGGAGGAAACTGAGGTACAGAAAAGGAAAGCAATCTACTCAAACCACCCAGTGGAACAGAGTAGACACGGTATTACTCACTTCTGAGCACATTATATTAGCCTCCTTGGGAAGAGGTCAACAAAGTTCATTTGGGATAGGAATCTCAGATGGGATTGAGGAATTAAGCAAACATGATGCTTGGGTGTTCTTTCAGGTAGGGGCTGACATTTGTGGCTTCTTAATGGACACCACTAAGGACCTCTGCACGCGCTGGATGCAGCTGGGAGCCTTTTATCCATTCTCCAGAAATCACAACGGCCAAGGTTTCATGGTAAGTCTCCCAAGAGATCCCATCGGAATGAACATGGCACACAGTGGGACTGGATTCTGTCTGTGTCCTTGGCAAGATGTCTGTGGATACAGTTCCTGTAGGTGCTTCACTCTGGTTAGTAAATGCTGCTGTTTGCAGTGGACCAGAGCTCGCACTGCTTCGTTTACACACATGTTGTCCCAGCCCCTGTGCCTGATCATACTACCTCCTGGGAATGGTGGGTCTAAGGGGTACTCTCCGTGCACATGAACTCCATTGCTTATTTTTCAATAGGAATTTAATGAGGCAATACTTTAAAATGAGGCATGCAGCAGGCTGCAGGGAAAAGCACCCTAAGCTGTGAATGAGACAGGGTGAGATGCAAGGTGAAGAATGGCCACTTTCTTGGGAAAGTGATGACCCGTTGTTTAACTGGGATGCCAGGAGGCCACTAAGGTCTTTTTGCAAAGAAACTCCGGGTTTTTATTAATGGAGCCTGAAACCTTGCAGGTGCTTCTGTTATCAATAACCGTATTGCATTTACAAACCCTTGTTTCCCTCATAGGATCAGGACCCTGCCTTCTTTGGAGCAGATTCTCTAGTGGTGACTTCCTCCAAGAAATACCTGAACATTCGCTACACCTTACTGCCCTACCTCTACACCCTCTTCTATCATGCCCACACCAGGGGAGACACTGTGGCGAGGCCTCTTATGCATGAGTAAGTTGACCAAACCTAAGGAATTTTTTCAATGCATGTGGATGTCATTGACTGTGTCATCAAACACCAGAGCAAAGGCTAAAGTAGTCTCTCATTAAACGTAGGGACATATGTAAAACTCTGGCATCCAGATGGTATCTGCAAAGCTCTTACTGCCTACATACTAAATTAGGGATTCAGTGTTTGTCTTTGTAGACTGTTCTCTTTGTGGGAGAAAATTACCCTCCAATTTCTGAGACTTGGTGTCTGTTCTCTGTTCTGAAACCAACTAATTCTCTTAGAAAAATCATCCAAGTTCTTTCTTTTGAATCATTGAAAAGATCCAACATCCAGATGGTAACCAACTCTTCTGCATCACACTATATTCAGACTTTAGGCACAAGTCTTCCATTTAATAAAATCATGAGTTCCAGATTGGTTATTTCCTACTAACAAATAAGGATAGCTAAGGACCTCTCTTTTTATAAAAAATTTATTTATTTATTTTATTGAATCACCATGAGATACGCAGTTACAAGACTATTCATGATCAGGTTTCAACCATACAATATTCCGACACCCATCCACCAGTGTACATTTCTCTAACCAATGCCCAAAGTTTTACTCCTTCCACCTTAGCCTGTCTCTATCTCTATGGCAGGCACCACTCTCTCTCTCTCTCTCTCTCTCTCTCTCTCTCTCTCTCTCTCTCTCTCTCTCTCTCTCTCTCTCTCTCTCTCTCCTCCATTTTGGGCACTATGGGTTTGCAATGCAGATACTGAGAGGTTATCATGTTTGTTGCTTTACCTGTTTTCAGCATACAGTTCTTTTCCTAATAGTGATCATTTCCATCTATCATTGCCATAGTGGTTCCTTCTCTATCCCAACTGCCTTCTTCTCCAGCACCTGGGACAGGCTTCCAACTGTGGACCAGTCCTCCTGGCCTGTGTTTCTACTGTCCTTGGGTATTAGTCTCATATTATGGTTTTTTTTCTTCTGTCCCACAAATGAGTGAAATCATTTTATGTCTGTCTCTCTCCTTCTTACTCTTTTTGTTCAGCATAATACTCTCCATGTTCATCCATTTATAAATGAATTTTATGACCTCAGTTTTCCTAACAGCTGTGTAATATTTTATTCTATAGATAAACCGAAGTTCCTCCGCCCCTTTTGGGGTTGGGAGGGGATAGATTTTAGGTTTTTTTTTAGTACTCAGTTGAAGTTTTAAAATACACTGCAAATTCATTAATTTTTCAAGGACGGGCATAGAAAATTAAGTTACTATCTGAAATCATTGTCTAGTATAGGTAATGAAAAAGGAATTTTTTTCCAACCTCAGAGAAGAATCAGGGTATGTGGGCTGGTGGGTTGGATATGATTGCAGAAGAAGGGCAGTGGGGTTTGAGCATATGTCAGAGTAATTTGGAAGGAGTTGCCCCAGGAGACAGCTCACTTCTTTTGGTCAGCTTGTGCGGAGAACTGTTAAGAACATTACCTGCATCTCAATGGCCATCTCTCCTACTTCCAGGTTCTACACTGACAGCAACACGTGGGATGTGCACGAACAGTTCTTATGGGGTCCTGGCCTTCTCATCACACCTGTGCTGCAGAAGGCAAGTGTGCCCCTCCCCCAACACACTCTTCTCAGTTTTTATTCCTGTTGTACCCTGCATGTCCCTTCCTGCAATCATTGCTCTTGACTTTGTTCCAAAGAAAATCACGGATCACGGATCATGGTCCTCCCGTTGTTCATCAATTTGCTTGAGCAGGCCCAGTAACGTCTCCATCATGAGACTTGTTGTTACTGTGTTTGGCATATCGAGTACGTCACGGGTAGCTTGCCAGGCTCTGCCGTGCAGGGGAGATACTCTCGGTGCTTGCTGGGCTTTCCGAGAGGGGCGGAGGAATCGAACTCACCTCGGCCATGTTGACTGCGTGCAAGGCAAATGCCCTATCACTGTGCTATTACTCCAGCCCTCCAAAGAGAATATCAAGAGATATTTAAAAGATACCAAAGAGGATATCCAAATTGATATCAATATTGATAACATCTGAAAAAATACTTCCATACATTTTTTAAGCAACAAGTTAAAGACTTAAGTATATGGTGGGACTGGTGAGACCAGGTTCCCAGGTAGTGTGGAAGCATCGTTGTCTTCCTGTAAGTTTGGGAGCCGTCTTCTCTGTCTCCAGAGCATCCCAGAAGACTTGCTCTCTGTCAAGAGGCAAGATAGGACAAAGACCAGGAAGATTGTTGTCTCCTCTGCTTCTTGCTGATTAGAGAGAGGACATGTGCCTCAACCTTGAAAGGGACAGAATAATGGCACTCATCTCTGTGGTCTGTTGGGAATCCACTGATAAAAGCTGGAATTTAAAAAATTGGGAAAAAAGGGGGGCTGAAGAGATAACACAGCGAGTAGGACATTTGCCTTGCATGCGGCTGACCCAGGTTCAATTCCCAGCATCTCATATGGTCCCCTGAGCACCGCCAGGAGTAACTCCTGAGTGCAGAGCCAGGAGTAACCCCTGTGCATTGCCTGGTGTGACCCAAAAAAAGTAAAATAAAATTGGGGGCCATGCCTGGTGATGATCAGGGGTTAGTCCTGACTCTGCACTCAGTATTCTCTCCTGGATGGGATCAGGGCATCATATGGGATACTATTGATTGAACCCGTGCTGTCCACATACAAGGCAACTGCCCTACCCACTGTAATATCTCTCTGGTCCCCAAAGCTGAAGGTTTTTTTTAAAGCATAATATGCTCCATAAATTATGATAATGATAAAGATAAAAATAAATATGTCTTTTGCCTTTCGGGGTGGAGGAATGTTTGCCAAGTTATTGCTACTATTCCTATCAGAAGACAGAGGATAGGTGCTAATTAATAACAAAAACAAAGGCCATTTATGTACTCAGTTAAATGCGAAGTAAAAAACATTCCTTAGTAAATATTAGAAATGAAGAACAATATCTTTTTTGATTCCAGGATGCAATCCACGTGGAGGCATATGTACCCGATGCTGTCTGGTATGATTATGAGACTGTGAGTATCTTTGACTTTTTCTTAAACTCCCTGAGGACAAGCTGCAGCTATAAGAGAAGATGTGCACAAGCACATCCATTTGTATGACTGAGTAGTGTTTCTCTAGTGTTTGCTGCAAATCTGTAGCTAAATTAAAGAAGCAAGTCTAGGTTCCTTTGTTAGAATCTTGAAAATATCTGACAAAATACTTCCATATACTGTATTTCAGCACAAGGTCAACTTCAGTATATTATTCAGTAAATTATTGAGGGGACCAATGGACAATTTGACCTTGATTGATAGTCAGATTACTTGTTGTAGGAATGAACAAATTCTATAGTATTTATCTAGTAGCCCCATTTTGATCAAAATGTTCTTAAAACTTCCCAGCCACTGTAAAACTGATTACTCTGAATTTTCTTCTTCTAATGCATGATTGATTAAACAAGTCATTGAGTTGGGTAGAGAGAGAAGAGAAGTGTGGATAACTGAGCACATAAACTAGAGGTGAGTCTGTGATGGGACTAAGGTATTGGCTTTGTCTGCCTGCCTCAGGGGGCTAAACTGAATGGGAGGAAGGAAAGAAGGACCATGGTGCTTTTTGAAGACAAAATTGGACTGCACCTCCGAGGAGGCTACATCTTCCCCACCCAACAGCCAGCGACAACCACAGTGGCCAGGTACTGCCCAGTTGGGAGTTTCCACTGAACAGAAATGCTGATAAAGCTGAGCAAACTGTTTTTTATGTGTTATCCAATGGGAGAAGCTAAAGCATGGTGTGAGTGGTGGAGAGGAAGATCTCTAGGGTATGTGTGTGTTTGGCTTAGGGGTGTGTGTCATCAAGCTGCCCCTTGGGTTGTGCATGGTAGCTTCTTCTTTTTTTATTGTATCACTCTGAGAAACAAAGCTGCAAAGTTGTTTTTGATTGGGGTTCAGTCATAAAAATTCCAATATTCATCCCTTTGTCCCTTCACCAGTGTACATTTCCTATAACCAGTCTCCAGTTTTCTTCCAGTCTGCACCCCTCGTCTGCCTCAATGACAGGCACTTCTCTCTCTTTCTCTCTCTCTCTTTCTCTCTCTCTCTCTCCCTCTCTCTGTCTAATATTCTCCCGTGGCATGTTCTTTTGTTTTTCTTGCATTTTGGATCACTCCCGGAGATGCACAGGGGTTACCTCTTGGCTTTGCACTCAGGAATTACTCCTGGCGGTGCTTGGGGGACCATATGGGATGCCGGGAATCAAATCTGGGTTGGCTGCATGCAAGGCAAATGCCCTAATCGCTGTACTATCGTTCCAGCCCCCCATGGCGTATTCTTTTTTTAAAGTTTTTAAAATTTATTTATTAATAAATTGTTCATAATTATATGTTGCATTCAACATTTCATCACCAATATCTCCACCATTGCACCTTCCCACCACCGTTGTTTCCAATTTTCTCAACCACCGTTCAAGCCTGTACCTATCACAGGCCCTGAATAATTTCTTTTACATTCATTGTTATAAATAATTCTCAGAAAAATGATCAAAAAATATTTCCTTGGAAGAACGTGTGTGAAGATTGCTGTATCTCAACCCGGGAGTCAATCATTAAGCCCTTGTATAAAAGTTCACTAAAACGTTGTTACAGGTTAAACTTTGTGTGTTTACATTTTGTTAATTGAGATTGGTTGTCATCTATTTTACATCCCATCCAATGTGGTGTGCTACTCCTGGTTTATCAGTGATGTAAAGTTTGAGATGTTGCATGGCTGCAAATGAGGCTGTGCGCTCCAGGAATTCAAAACATTTTGAACGGGAAAATACAGCTCAAGTTAAATTTTTAACTGGATGGTGATTTTGGGTGCCATTGATGACTCAGCCTGGCATGGAATCTGGAAGCATCTCTGCAACTTTCAAGATTCATTTATGAGTCTCTGGATCATTGTCGTTTAATGAGTTTATTTGGCACCAGAGGCAGTTCATGGGCATGACTGCTGAGGCTTCCAGAAGAACAGGGAGGTGTGGAGAGGTAGTCATCCCCAACTCTCTGAGAAGCTAGAGATTTCAATCACAAAACCTGCACGACTCAGTTTTTAAACAGTTAAATTTCTGGATGAGGCTTATTCAGAGTAGTGAAGTCCAGTCATAAGCATGGCAGCAATTGTGGAGTGTGGAGGTTTTCGGCTGCTGGGGCTTTACTAGGGAAGGTGCTGGGTTCACTAGTTCTATTCTGGGGTTCCCTGGATGACTAATGCCCTGGTATCATCGTCTAAGAAATCTGTGATTTAGAGTTTTTTAAAAAAGGATTGTAAAAACAAAAAACTTAATCTCTGCGCCTCCTAAATCTATTGCATTTCTCTTCAAAACATGCTGGCTACTATATGGTCAAACGTCAGTGGTTTTTTGGTCAGAACTGCTGGAACATTGGCCCTAAAACCTCTCAACTTCATCAAATGATTTTTGCGTATGACCCTGTTTGCCTCAGCCCAACCATCCATCCATCATGCTGTGCTTTTGATTCACTTACTTTCATTTTTACATTATTGGTGTGTGTGTTTGTGTGTGTGTGTGTGTGTGTGTGTGTGTGTGTGTGTGTGATGGGGGTGGGATGGGGGGAGGTCCATCTTCCCTTTCCTATTACCTTAATGTCTCATTTTCTCCCACGGAGTAATTTTGTGATACGAAATGGGCTTAAAAGTTACCTGTGAACTTTCTGTCTCCTCATGTTCCAGTTCTCCCATTGCCCTGATTTAAGTCTCAAATCACAGACTCCCTTCCTACTAAGGAGGCTCACTCTGTATCTGTCTCTGAAAGAATTTCAGTGTTTTTAACAGACAGCAAGTTGATTGGAGACTAGGAAACAGATTTGAGCTTTTCTTTTTGATTTTACAAAATATAGATTTTTGTCCTAATGGTAATAATAATAAGGCTCTCCCATTAATCATCGATTTTCTCCAGCAGGCCCTGTAACGTCTCCATTGGAGACTTTGTTGTTACTGTGTCTGGCATATCGAATACGTCACGGGGAGTTTGCCAGGCTCTGCTGTGCGGGCGAGATACTCTTGGTAGCTTGCTGGGCTCTCCGAGAGGGGCGGAGGAATCGAACTTGGGTCGGCCATGTTGACTGTGTGCAAGGCAAATGCTCTACCGCTGTGCTATCGCTCCAGCCCGTCCTAATGGCATTTATGGAAAACACATTTGTGTTTAAGACCAGTTGGTTTCCTTTTCTCTATCATCCACCTTTAGGCTCTTCTGCATTCAGCTACCAAAAGCATCTATTCAAAATGAAAAACTTCAGTCTATTTTTCTCTTAATTGAAATTCAAGGGCTATTTATCTAAACAGTGCTTAGAGCCATTCACTCCATGCTTCCACATTAACTTAAAAACCATGTCTTCCTCTGATTCCTGCTGAGCCTGTCCTGCTGATCTGTGTTCCTGCAGGGCCCTAGAAACACCATATTCTTGCTTTGTTTTGCATTGACTCACCAGTCTGGTTGGCTGAAAATTACCAGGAGTGACCCTAAGAGCCCCCGAACACTATTTGGAAGACCGTACTAAAACACACACACACACAAACAAAAACAAACAACCCAACCACTATCTCTCCTTAATATACTCTATGGACGAGGATCACCAAAATATCTCTGTTCTTAAATATACCCATTTATTTTACTACATCTATTGTTCAATTTTTACTTTCTTTCTTTGTCTTGACCATACCTGGCTACACTTTGCTATACTCATTGTTATCCTTCACATTTATCTCCAATTTCACCTGCAGAGATCTTCTCCAACCCTTCCAACAGAGGGAGTGATGCCACCACCAAATTTCTGAGCATTTTTCTCCTGGACTCTCTTGATCCATAGATGATTTTTCTTATATCTGTAATATTAAGTAGTTCAATTATCATTGTTTTATATACTCTATATCTGAAAATTCTACTACCTCAACTCATTTAGGTGAATATAATCCTGTGTGCTAGACAGTTTCTTTGTATGCTTATTAACAACTTTTTGTTTTCAAATTTGTTCATCTAAACATGGGTCCCTTCCTGTAGAAATAATTTGCACTACCTTAGGTCAGAAGTCAGGACTCTGCTCAGTCAGAGATCAAGGATCCTGTGTTGTAGGTAATCTGGGATCAGGCAGTATTTGAGCGTGTGGTTCTTTCTGGATCACCTAGGTCTTGGGACCCCTAGAAATGTCATTCTGAGTTCTTTTTATTTATTCTTTTATTTTATAAAGTAGCAATATAGCAAAGCGGTAGGGCGTTTGCCTTGCACGCAGCCAACATGGCCGACCCGAGTTTGATTCCTCCGCCCCTCTCAGAGAGCCTGGCAAGCTACCGAGAGTTTCTCGCCCGCACGGCAGAGCCTGGCAAGCTCCCCGTGACGTATTCGATATCCCCGTGACGTATTCGATATGCCAGACACAGTAACAACAAAGTCTCCAATGGAGACGTTACTGGGCCTGCTCGAGCAAATCGACTAACAATGGGAGGGCCTTTAAAAAAATTTATAAAGTAGCACTGTAGCACTGTTGTCCTATTGTTCATCGATTTGCTTGAGTGGGCACCAGTAACGTCTCCATCGTGAGACTCGTTGTTACTGTTTTTGGCATATCAAATATGCTACAAGGAGCTTGTTAGGCTCTGGCATGGGGATTTTATAAAGAAGTAGCTCACAATATTTGATTACATTTAATATTCAACCACCAATACCACTACCATTACACCTTTCTGCTACCATATTTTGGATGTCTCCATCCCGAACCCCAAACCCTGCCCCAAAGCAAAACTAAAATAATATATTTTGTATTGTTTGTTATGAAAGATTGCTGAAAATGCTACGAGAAAGTTTCACTGAAGGGCCATTTCGCCTTTCTATAAGAGATCACTAACATGCTGTTAAAGGCTGAACCGTGTGTGTGTGTGTGTGTGTGTGTGTGTGTGTGTGTGTATGAGATCTGTTATATTATGGTTTTTGGCATATCAAATATGCCATGGGGAGCTTGCCAGACTCTGCCGTGTGGGTGAGATACTCTTGGTAGCTTGCTGGGCCCTCTGAGAGGCACATAAATATATTTCCCTCTACAATTTTATGGAAAATGGTAGGGAGCGTTTTATGATGTGTCCAAGCATGTGGAAAGCGGCCTGGAGCTTGGTTGCAGTTGGGTAGTGGAGGTTTGTTGTGGAGGCTGGGTCCCTTGCAGTGGGGAGGGCTCTCACCTGCACCCACTCTGGGGCGCCCCGAGTGAAAAACAGCCTGGTGCAGAGTCCAGTGGCATGGTTATGGGGTCTCATTCCCCTGACCCTGAAAAAGCCTCCAATTATTGGGAAAGACGAGTAAGGAAAGGCTTTTAAAATCTGAGGGCTGGTAAGTGAAATGAGTCAGAAAGAGGGGGACAGATGTAGAAAGTCTGCACTCATCTGAGGAATATAAAGTTACAGAATGGGAGACGAACATTCAAGAATTGTTGGGTTAAGTACCAGGAGGTCTGCTCCATGGCTTGGAAACCGGCAGCAGATGCTGGGTTTGGGGGTGGGGGAGGGGGAAGAAAGCTCAGATAGAGAAGGGACCACCAAGTAAAGGGTGTTTGGAGGATTCACTTGGGGTGTGAGATGCATGCTGAAAGTAGACTATAGACCGAACATGATGGCCACTCAATACCTCTATTGCAAAGCACAACATCCTAAAGGAAAGAGAGAGCAAAAGGGAATGCCCTGCCATAGAGGTGGGGCAGAGTAGGGGGGGATGGGGGGTGGGACGGTTACTGGGTTCACTGGTGGTGGAGAATGGGCACTGGTGGAGAATGAATACTCGATCATTGTATAACTGAAACCCAAGCACGAAAGTTTGTAAGTCTACAACTGTACCTCATGATGTTTCATTAATAAAGAAAAATTTAAAAAATATAAATCAAATCAAATCAAATCCCAGGGCTGGGATAAATTGAGACGTTACTGGCTCCCGCTTGAGTAAATCGATGAATAAAGGGATGACAGTGATACAGTGATATATATATATATATGTAAAAATATTTCCCTCTAAAACTGGTTGCCTCCTACTTTGAAGCCCATCAAATATGGTGCTGTACTCTTAAAATATGGGTAGGGTATGTGGTATGAAGTGTGCAGGAATAGGTTCACTTGGGGCTGAGGTTCGGCCCGTATATGTGGAGAATGGGTATGAGAATGGTGGCAGTTGAGTTTCGGAGGCTTTGGGCTCCCAGGACTGGGTGCCTTGGGATGGGGAGGGGTCTCATCCATGTCCTTTGGGGCACCCCATCATTCTGCATTCTTATAAGTACTTTACCTTCTGAGGCACACTTTATGTTCTGCTTCATTGATAAAAATTGTTGAATTTCTCTTCTAATATTCTAGATTCTCTATAGAGCTATGGTCTATTTGTATTTGCATCTCTTGGACTTCTTAGTAAATGAAAGATACTAAACAAAAATGTGTTACATGAAAGCCAATAATCTAGTTGACTTTCAGAAGACAGAGTGGAAAGTTGAACTCTAAAAGACCACAATACTGAAGGTGGGGTCACTGGAGGATTCAGCAGAAGCAGGAAATTGGAGTTAGGTATCTACAGACCAGCAGAAGAGCCATTGAAAACAATAGACTGAAATGGCCTTTCTCTATAGTTATTACTTTTTTCAACTTTTAGTGCTTTTGAATATTATTTTGTGATGTCTATACTATAAAGCTGGATACCAATTGTTTCACTCTTCTGTTAAAACAAACCGAGAATCTAATTAGGAAAGTTGTCATTCCATAAAATGATTTTTAATCAGTTTTATTGGTTTTGGAGTCAAAACAATTTTCAATGAGGGAAAATCTGTAAGTTCTCCAACTGCAATAAACGTGTGTGTGTGTATGTGTGTGTGTGTGTGTGTGTGTGTGTGTGTGTGTGTGTGTGTGTGAAACTGAGGATTAAACCCAATGTCTCATATATGCAAGACAAGTGCTTTATCACTGAGATACATCCCCAGGCTCTTTTGTATGTCATCACTGGTTATCCATTTGAACCAATTATTGTCTACAATTTCTTTATCTTCTAGTCATCTGTATTCTAAAGAATAGCTGCATCCACAGCTTTAATTGTCCCTATTGCAGTGATTCTGGGACTTAAATTCCAGCTCCTTCCCAGTCTTTGAGGGTATTCTTATCTTCTCTGACTGAAGATTCTGATTCTACTGGAAGAGGCTCCTTTTGATCTTGACGTATATGAAGAAACAAAACTTTCTGCTGTGGCTAATCTTCATGAGTTGAAAATCTGTGGAAAAAAATTCTTTGAATTCTAAGCCTGTCTCATACATGTATTATTTTCCACAGCCGAAAGAACCCTCTTGGTCTCATCATTGCCCTGGATGAGAAAAGACAAGCGAAAGGTGAACTCTTCTGGGATGATGGAGAATCGACAGGTGAGCGCTATTACTGCCATGTTGCTACACCCAAGCCTGCATCTTTGAGCTACTCCACCACTCCACAATGGAAGAAATCTCACTAGGCACAGAACTGTTAACCATTCTCGAGAAGTTTGGTTTGAGGTGTAATGCCTAGGGGTGTGGCACAGGGACCAAAGGTGGAAAGAAAACACATGTCTACCTCTTAGAATTTTTCCACTGCTGAGCTATATAGTTCTAGGTTTTCTTTGTATTGCCAAAGAACTTCTGAGAGAGAGGCTTTACTCTTCTTGCTATTTTTTTTGCAAACAAGAATCTTTTTTTTAAATGCTTATTAGTGAGACATCATGAGATACAGTTGTAGACTTACAAATTTTTGTGCTTGGGTTTCAATTATACAATGATCAAATACCCATCCCTCCACCAGTGCCCATTTCCCACGACCATGGATCCCAGTATCCCTCCCACCCCCCATCTCCCCCATCCTACCCTGCCTCTGTGGCAGGGCATTCCATTTTGTTCTCTCTCTCTTATTGGGTGTTGTGGTTTGCAAAAGAGGCAATGGGTAGCAATCATGTTTGGTCTAGAGTCTACTTTCAGCATGCTTCTCCCATCCTGGGAGGATCCTCCCAACACCCTTTATTTGTTGCTCCCTTCTTTATCTGAGCTCCCTTTTCCCCTAGCATGTGTGGTTGGCTTCCAAGCCATGGAGTAAAATTCTTGGTACTAATCTCAGCCATTCTTGGGTGTTAGTCTCCTATTTTGTTACTTTATGTTTTTTTCTCCAAATACTTGTGAACTAATGTAAACAACATGAAGGACACACTCTTGTTAGTGAAACACTAACTTCACACTCTTAGCACTCCTGTTAAGAAAGCACTTTGTGAAGGTGCCTCGATCTAGCTGTGGGGTAGCTTAGCCGTGTTTCATACTGATGTTACTATAACTGAAGCATAGGGAACGGATCCACCTAAGAATCCAATGGAAAATTCTTGGAGTTGAAAGAAAAGGTCAAAATGAGGCTTGGCCTTGGTCTTGTCATTCATCAGAGGTAGCTTCAAGGAGAACCAGGGTAAAATCTGTACCATTATGGCAAGCAGACTGCAGTCTGACTCACTTTTCTCTCACTTTCAGGTACGTTGGCCCAAGACAAACATATCTTCTATGAGTTTTCTGTCATCAACGTGAGTACTGTGTGTGTGTTGAGTGTTGTATTTGTTATTATTGTTTTTGGCCTCAGCTAGTGACACTTGGGGACTACTCCTGGTACCATGCTTGGGAAGCATGCTATTGGTGTTGAGGAGTAAACCCTGAGGTCCTGCATACGAAGCATCTGCTCCAGTCGTTTGAGTGATCTTTCTAGTCCACAGTAGCATATTTTTATAAAATTTGGGTGTGAGATTTGTCTATTAGCTCATGTGTATAATTACATTTTTAGTCATATGTTTTTATGACTACAGATGAGCACATTTAGTTTATGATTTGGCTCATAATACTTGAATCTCAAGGCAGTCAGTCTTTAAAAGTTCTGTTTTAAGAATGGTTGTCTATGTTGCTATATATCTCTTATCTTTATCCCTCACATATACATGGATTATTAACTTATGTTTTTATTTACTGAGTAAATATTAGTAATAACAGCTAAAAGCCATTAGAGAGCTTTGGGTAGCAGGCCTAAAATATATTGTTTGAGAACCTGTGTATTATTGGTAAACACTTGTGCTTGTTTTATAGAACCGCTTGGATATGAAGCCTTTGCCTTCAACCTACAAAGATCCTAATAATTTAGAATTTCAAGATATTAAAATACTCGGGATCCCAAGTATTAGTAAAGTAACAGTGAAACACAATGGTGCTCCAACTCAAATGTCTCCTGAAGTCACTTATGATGAACTACAGGTAAAAGTCCATTTATTGGGATAGCCAATTAGGATTTTCATAGTTTACAATGTTCTTTTCTGACAAAGTTGCATGAATTCTTGATGGACCAAGGCATGCTTTAATACCTGGTTAGGAAAGACAGAAGGTTTGGAGAAGAGGAGTGACTGGGTTAGAATGAATTAGAGAGACAGTGCACATCCCCCCACCCCATTTTGGAAGTGGGGCTGGCACTAGTTCAAGTCTCAGCATTGTCAGGATTGAGAATGTTTTTCCTCTGTAAACTTCTTAGTTATAGCTATAATGGAGTTAGTTACAGGAGAATAAAAGAGTATTCAGGGAGGAAAAGATAAAAAAGGAATAGACTCCTAAAGCAAGAGATTATAGATTGGCCAACTCGTCCAAGAACCCATAGCTAATGTAAAGAGTGCTGCAATGAACAAACAATTGCAGATGTCATTTTGACTATACTTTTTTGCCTCTCTGGGATAAATTCCCAGCAGTGGTATCGCTGGATCAAATGGGAGCTCAATTTCTAATTTTTTGAGAATCTTCCATACTGTTTTCCAAAAGGGCTGAACCAGTCGGCATTCCCACCAACAGTGAAGGAGGGTCCCTTTCTCGCCACATCCGCGCCAGCACCAGTTGCTTTTGTTCTTGTGGATATGGGCCAGTCTCTGTGGTGTGAAATGATATCTCATTGTGATTTTGATCTGCATCTCCCTGATGATTAATGATGTTGGGAGGATCCGCCCAGGATGGGAGAAGCATGCTGAAAGTAGACTATAGACCAAACATTATTGTCACCCGTTGCCTCTTTTGCAAACCACAACATCCAATAAGAGAGAACAAAAGGGAATACCCTGCCACAGAGGCAGGGTGGGATGGGGGGATGGGGGGTGGGAGGGATACTGGGATCCGTGGTGGTGGGAAATGGGCACTGGTGGAGGGATGGACATTTGATCATTGTCTAATTGAAACCCAAGCACAAAAATTTGTAAGTCTACAACTATACCTCGTATGTCTCACTAATAAAAAAAAATAAATTAAAAAAACCAAAAACCCATAGCTAAGGTCTGTGAATTCAACAGTTAGTTCGTTTCTGAAAATTTTGTTTTCCAAAGAGGAAAAAGTGACTAAGAGGGAAAATTTTACATGGGGCGGGCAACTATCAAAATATTCTACAAGCAGGAATGGTTTTTCTAAAACGAGCATTTACACAGATGAAACACTCAGACTGAGAAAGTAGAACAAACCCATCTAAGAATTCTAAGGACTGAAAATAGCTTTGTGTTAATCCATAAGTGTACAAATACAATAGGCAAGATTCACTTTTGAAAAAGGATCAGTTTGGATTGAATTTGTGATCAGACTTCGAAGGGTCTAAGTGATCTCAACCACTGGTCCATGGAGCCATACTGTTTTGAAGTTGGAGTTGAAAACCCCTAGTTAGTTTGCTGCCATGGTTTTAACTGCCAATCCACAGACCAGTAGGTAGAACAGGTGTGCTAGTCTGAAGATGTAGCACTGTAGCACTGTCATCCAGTTGTTCATCGATTTGCTCGAGTGGGCACCAGTAATGTCTCCATTGTGAGACTTATTGTTACTGTTTTTGGCATATCAAATACGCCATGGCTAGCTTGCCAGGCTCTGCTGTGCCGGTGGGATACTCTCAGTAACTTGCCAGGCTCTCAGAGACGGACAGAGGACTCAAACCTGGGTTAGCCACATGCAAGAAAAACGCCCTACCCGCTGTGCTATGACTATGGCTCCAGCGTGGTTAAAGAACAAAGATCTGAGGTATCCAAACTAGAAGGATCTATCTGAGCTTGTCAGCTCTTGCAAGTTCTGAGCATGCCTTTACTTGCTCTCTTTCTATTCATACAGATCCCCAAAATCACAAAACTTAATCTTACCCTGGGAGAAATGTATACCGTGGAGTGGGAACTAACAAGGAATGAAGATAAAATAGACTGTTACCCTGACCAGGATGGTGCCACCAAGGAGAAATGCATTGCACGTGGTTGTATCTGGGAGGTAACCATTGTGTTAACTGACATTAAGGCCTTTATACTTTACCATTTGTTAGCATAGCACCAGTTCCCATGTCACTCCTTATAATCCTTGAAAAGAAAGGAATTCTGAAAGAAATCTAAATTTTTCTTTTGAATGTGAAGGATCAGTAGGAAGAGGGAGGGAATGTGGAGGGGATGTTTTCGTTTTTACACATATTTTACATGATGGCTAAGAATTCAAACTATGTGACTACTGAGGAGTGCATATGATACAAGGAGATTCAGACTAGGGATATGCACCAGTGATAGAATTTCAGGTATTGGGAAATGTCTGATTTTCCTTCCTATAAAATGCCTTCTCTAAACCCTTTTATCTGTTTATCCTCAGACCGTTGTGAAACTAACTTTGACTTTACTTTCCAGGAAACCAATGCTGAGCGAGTCCCTTACTGTTATTTTAAGGACAGTCTATACAATGTCCACAATATTCAGAAACTACAAAATGGGATTACAGCTTCCCTCACCCTAAAGCCCCAGGCTCCTGCTAGCGCTTTCCCCTCAACACCTGTGACACAGCTCAGTCTGAGTGTCACCTACCATAAGAATGAGATGCTGCAGTTCAAGGTAAGTGTTTACAGTATAAATATCAAGTATTAGTGACAGTTTTCTAAGTTCCACAAAGCTTTGCTAGTCATTGTAACTGAATCCTGAGAGAAGTGTGCTCTTCTAAACTCTCCTGACTGCCATTTCATTATCTAAAAGCAATCAGAGAACAGGCAGATATCTTCCCATCTGGCAAGTACTAATGCAGAAAGAAAATGATCAGGAGGGCAATAATGCAAAAGGAGAGTCATATTGGGAGGTGATGAGTTGGTTGATTCATGTGTGGGATCCAGCTGAGTGAGACCTGATACAGGGAGAGATACAGAACAGTGTTCAACTTTGGGAGAGTTAGGAAGTAGGATGCTAGGATTTGGTGACTGATCATAGGTTGGTCAGCTGAGAGAGGAAAGAGCTGGAAAAACACTGGGTCCCTACTTTGCACCTCTACACAAGGTGGTAACAAGGTGGTAACATTCATTGGTCTGGGATCATTGAAAAGGTTTGTCTGGGCTTATGTAAAATAAGACTGAGTTCCATTTTAGATACTGAATTTGGGGGTTCTGTGAAAACAGCCAGAACAGTGTAGTGATCTTTTGGTTTCTAGGAATAAAATATAATACCGATGGACTATCTTTACATCTATTTTTCTGCAAAATTATTTCTCAGAGGCAGGTATTTGTCCTTTCATCTTTACGTTTCTGAACTCTGGCATAGCGTATGTTAGATAGTTAGCATTCAGATGTTTATTGAGAGAGTGAGGGAATGAATGAAGGAAGCCAATGTAGCTTGCCTAAAAGGTTCTCATAATCTCATACTAAACTGTACTGGTTTCTTTTACAACATCTCATCAAGGATGATGCTCTTTTCAATTCGCCATAAAGATGATCATCATAATGCTGAGACAGGGGAGGATTGAACTGGGCCTGAAATAAATAAATTTGCCTAAATTTCTTGCTGTGATTCTTTACCACTGTTTAGTCTGACTATATAGTAGCTCTCTCCACAATGTTTTCCTCTTTCAGATCTATTTTAATTCTCTGTGTCTTTGCATGTGTTTTTCTATGTGTTCTTTTTTTCTTTATTTGGTTAATGGTTGGAAGTTTTTTATACTCGGCCTATATTTTCCCCTCTAAACTGTCCCTGTTACCTAGATATAGCAGGAGAAATTTTCTTCCCTCAGTCCATACAGTCCTATGTGGTGGTCCTTTTCATTTTCTTTTTTTTTCTTTTTAAAAAATTTTTTAAAAATGTATTTATTGAATCACTGTGGGAAAAGTTACAAAGACTTCAGGTTTAAGTCTCGGTCATGCAATGATCAAACACATTTCCCTTCACCAGCAATTATTTTTCAACACCAAGAACCCCAATACACTCCCCCTCCCACCCCTCCCAATGCCTGTGAGGCAGATGAATTCTAGTTAGCATTCTATCTACTTTGATTAGATTGTTTCGACAAAAGATGCACCATTATTGTTTAGAGTTTACACCCCAAAATCGGACCTGCTGAAAAGGTATTGCAAAATAATTTGTTTTCTACACCTGGTTACAAGAACCAAATGATGTCGCGCAGCCACGAGTTTGGATTTCTGATATTTTACTTATTAAGCCTGGAAGTGTTTCTGCCGAGAGCAAGATAATTATGAGATTGGTTTCTGTGGCTCTGGAGCCATGGAGCCATGGATTAACGCATAGTCCATTCACTTTTCTGCTGCAAGCTTCCGGGCTCTGCATTAAGTCCTTGTGCTTCTGGAGCCATGGCCGTGCCGGAGAGCCGCTCGTGGGTGGCAACCCGTGACCTCAGTAGGGCGTGAAGGATGAGCCAGGAACGCCCCCCTTCCCATGTCCTTTTCATTTTCTTTTGGTGATCATTCTCTTCTTAAAGACAACATCTTCTTCAGTTTAGTAGTATGGCAAGCAGAAATAAAACGGATACATAATGAATCAATTTAGCAAGGGCAGTAATTTTTCTAATAAAAGTAGAATTAATTTTTGGAGAGTATTTTTTTTTTCAGTTTGAAAATTTTCAGGTATTTGTATATACTCATGCATTTAAATACGATGTACTGAAAGCATATTTATATATACATAAGTACCAACTAACAGATTGATTTTCTTAAGAGAGCGCCAATATCAAAATGATTGTATCTCCATATTAATAAATTCCTTAAAAATAAAATGCAATAGATTTGAATCATGTTAATTCTGATATTATTCTTTGACGTGTCAATAAAATCCAAATGAGCATGAAGGTAAGGCCTTCAGACTTTGTCAAAAAGCTCAAAATTCTATGAACGGTAGAGTTTTCAAAAGTACTGTTCTCACCTACAGTCTATTTCCTCTATTCTAGATTTATGATCCCAACAACAAACGCTATGAAGTCCCAGTTCCTCTCAACTTACCCAATACTCCATCCAGCACCCCTGAAGGTAGACTTTATGAAGTCGAAATTGCAGACGATCCATTTGGGATTTTAATTATTCGGAAGAGCACAGGCACCACCATGCAAGTATCTCCATGTCTGGTTTTGGAACTGGTGTTGATTAATTTTCTTTCCATCTTTATGTCAATGCAGGTTATATTCTGAGTAAAAACATCACATAATCTATTCTTTTATGTCAATTCTTATAAGAAATGTTCAGTCCACTCAGAATAATTGCCAAGGCAATAGCAGAAAACTGGGGATTCATTTAAGAAATGTTATAGAAGGTGGTTGTAGGAAATGAGGTCTCTCTTCTCATGACCAAAGAAAATGTAATTAGGAAACAAAGATAAGTTCAAAATATACACAATGGATTTAGGTAATGACAGCTGATATGTAGAAAAAAGAACCTGGTGATGCTATGCTTCTGATGCTGTGTTGAAAATAAGTCTCTTTAAGGAAGTGGCATTAAAAATGGGCTTGTTAAAATGAATGGCGTTGTGTTTTGGAGGCAGATGCCAAGAAATTAATCACTGGGTCATGTGAAAGTTCGATTGGCTGACCCGAGTTCGATTCCTCTGCCCCTCTCGGAGAGCCCAACAAGCTACCGAGAGTATCTCGCCCGCACGGCAGAGCCCGGAAAGCTCCCCGTGACATATTCGATATGCCAAACACAGTAACAATAAAGTCTCCAATGGAGACGTTACGGGGCCCGTTCAAGCAAATTGATGATCAACGGGAGGGCCTTTTTTTTAATTTATTATTATATTACAACATGGCCGACCCGAGTTCAATTCCTCCGCCCCTCTCGGAGAGCCCGGCAAGCTACCGAGAGTATTCAATATGCCAAACACAGTAACAACAAAGTCTCCAATGGAGACGTTACTGGGCCTGCTCGAGCAAATCGACGATCAACGGGAGGGCCTTTACCTTTACCTTTACCTTTATTATTATATGATGCACATTATAGGACTATTTCCTCCCATTTAGTAGAGTGTTTTTTAATTTTGACCTTATCAAATTTTGTAATTTGATGTATTACCCATTTTTTGTATTTTCTGCTAATGGAGTTTATCTAAAAATGACTTCATAACTTGGAGGATTCTGCTTATATTTTTCCTTCATTTGCTTTATGAATTACTAAGATTTTAATCTACTTTGAATGAATTTTTTGTGTATGATCCAGTGTCATGGGCTGGAGCGATAGCACAGTGGTAGGACGTTTGCCTTGCGCACAGCTGGCCCGGTTGAGCCGGGTTCGATTCCTCCACCTCTCTCAGAGAGCCCAGCAAGCTACTGAGAGTATCTCACCTGCAAGGCAAAGCTGGGCAAGCTACCCGTGACATATTCAGCATGCCAAACACAGTAACAAGTCTCACGATGGAGACGTTACTGGGCCCGCTTGAGCAAATTGATGAACAACGGGAGGATCATGACTGTGACCCGGACCAGTGTCATTGTTGCACTTAGTGTAATAGCTAAGATTTAAAACAACTTAAATATTCAATGACAGATAAATGGGCGAATCTAGAGTATATCATATTAGGTCAAATACGTCAAATAAGTCAGAGAGGAAGGGCAGTACCAGCTGATCTCACTCATCTTTGGTATGCAGAGCAAAGCAAAGCAAACGATAAGGGAGTAGACAGTATCTAACAATGACAAACCCTTGGCCTTAGTTTAAAGAATTGAGATTACAAAATTGAAGTCAGGGAAGAGGTGGTGGGAGAACGTAGAGGTAGACAGGAATTAATGTACGAATATTGGTGGTGGTGATGTTTGATAAATGTTAACACTTTTGTAGATTTCATATCTAAATTATAATCAAATTAATGTTAATAATAATGATAATCTATGACTTAGCTAAGGACAAGGCTCCACTACATGGTGATCTGGGAGAAGGGTTGGTAAATTTTAGATAAATGTATTAGCAAGTGCACAGAACCAAAGACAGGAGCAAAGCCAGCATGAAAAGAAGAACAGAAGTCCAATCTGGTTGAGCTAAATTGTGAATAAGGAAGATATGTGATGGGAGATGGAGGTTGGAATTGTGTGATCTTCAGGTGATTGATGAAGAACTCACTAAAATCATAAGCCAAGAAGTCATATTAGAAGATGTGCATCATTAAATTTTTGACTTTTGTCACTCTCACTAATGCTTGGGACTGGCTTAGACATGACTCTGTGTGCCAAGATCACTCCTAGCTATTCTTGGGGCTGCATATGTGGTGCTGGGTGTTGAACGAGAGTTGGTTATGTGAAAGACAAGCACCTTAATGCTTATACTGTCTCTCCAGCCCTAGAGAAGTCTTTTTAAAAATATCTTCCAAGGGGACCAAGAGCAGTCCTTAGAGTTGTAAAGGAGTGATGGCAATCAAAGATGAGTGACAAGACTAGATATTGTGACGAGAGAACTGAAAAGAATGAGCAATAAAAAAAATAAAGCAAAGGCTAGTTCTTGTATTTTTAGTGAGAACAGCTATTATTATTATTATTATTATTAGCTACATCTGGTGATATTCAGGGGTGAATCCTTGCTCTGTGCTCAGAAATTACACTTGTGTGTCCTCAAGGGCCATATGGGATAACAGGGATCAAATCCACGTTGATCCCAGGACAATGATGATTATTTTTACCTAATAGACTTCCCTCCCCCCCATTCTGAGGAGTGGGAAAGAACAAAAAGTCTGATTATCCTTGGAAAGTTAACAGCTTAAATTCAATAGAATGACTTTTTCCTAAATATGCCCTTTTTTTGGTGTGTGTTGCAGATGGGACTCCCGCGTCCTTGGCTTCACTTTCAATGACATGTTCATTCGTATCTCCACGCGCCTCCCCTCCACCTATCTCTATGGCTTTGGGGAGAATGAGCACACATCTTTCCGAAGAGACTTGAACTGGCGCACCTGGGGGATGTTTTCCCGAGACGAACCCCCTGGGGTAAGAGCAGAGCCTTTGGCATCCCGTGACTTGGCTTCTCTTCACCCACATAGAATTCCCATCATGCTCTGTCTTCCAATACTCCACTTGGAAGGTCACATTCTGCTTATAGACATGTGGGACAATTTTTAGACTCCTTTGCTTATTATTTATTTCACATAAGTCTAGATATAACTAAGCTTCTGATTTTTGTTGTTTCTCTCCCTGCCACTGTATTACTGTATCATTGCCATCCCGCTGTTCATCGAGTTGCTCCAGGGGGTGCCAGCAATGTCTCCATTCATCCCAGCCCTGAAATTTTAGTAGGGATCAAATCCACGTTCCCAACACTGTCATATTGAAGGCTCTTTCAGGATCAGGGAAATGAGACCCATTATTGTTACTGTTATTGGCATATTGAATACGTCACAAGTAGTTTGTAGGCTCTGCCATGGGGGCGGGATACTCTCCGTAGCGTGCTGGGCTCTCTGAAGGGGAAAATAAGAGAATAAAAGCAAGATGTTAAAAACCAAGCACAGATGTGCTACATGCAACAGTCCCTTTTAACCAACTATCTCACATGACTCTCTTAGTACCTGAAGAATTCTTATGGTGTCCAACCCTACTACATGGCCATGGAGGAGGAGGGCAATGCCCACGGGGTGCTCCTGCTAAACAGCAATGCCATGGGTAAGAGAATGCCAGCATCTCCCCCTTGTTTTTTGTGAACAAATCCTCCTTGAGGAATTTTATAGTGGGTTTGATCTAGATGCTCCCTGAAGTCAAAATTATTATTAATTTTTTTTTCTTTCTGGATAAATGGATAAGTTTTCTATTTATTTCTTTTCAGTGACACGTGACAACAAGAATCAGTCCAACTTTTACTTGGCTAAAATTGCAAAAGCAGGGATAGCAAAACTAAGTGAAAACTTAAAAGTCTAAAGGACAGCCAGTGAGAGATGTTGGTGTAATTTGAATTACTGGTGAAGCAATGGGTTAGAGTGCATACTCTGAAGGGCTTATGGGGTGAAGAAATTTTGCATGGTATATTGGGAAAAGGGAGGAAAATCAGGAAGTGGTGTGGGAAAACTATACACGTGAAAACTGGTGAAATCTGAAGAAGTTCTCTAGCTGAGTCAATTATATTCTATGAATGTCAGCTTCTTGATTTTTACAATGCATGATGGTTATATGGTTATATATGAAAAAATTTTTCTAAAACTTAAGTTATTCTAAATTACAGTAATAATATAAAATGAACTGACTTATCAGATATATTCAGTAAGACACACCAAAGGGGAAAATCCAGGGAGGACCATGTGACTTTGATTTTTCAACTCTGTGTAGCTATAATAAAAATACTTCCTCTCAATATTAGCTACTAGGGAAACAGGAAGAGGGAGACTATAGAATGAATTAGAGGGGAATTCCACACCTTGAAACTTTCTAGCCTGATTGGTACTTTCCTATAATTTCAGATGTGACATTCCAGCCCATGCCTGCCCTAACATATCGCACCATTGGGGGAATTCTGGACTTTTATGTGGTCTTGGGACCCACTCCAGAACTTGTAACTCAGCAATACACTGAGGTAGGAATGAATTTAATTGATTACCATTGATTACCATGTATTTAGATAATATGTTATGAGTGTGCCCACACCCATATTCATTTGTATAGTATATACAGGTTTATAAATCAAGCAACAAAGCAACAATAAGTGAAATCCAAATATATGTTCAATTCTTATCATTTCAAAACCTCTGAGAGTGGCATAAATAGTAGTAATGAAATTGGTTGTGGGCCATAAAAATACTGGTGTTGATTATGGTGGTAGAAGTGATAATTAGGCATGATGGTGATGAGGATGATGGGTGTGGTGACCATCCCGGTGGTGGAAGTTACGATTGTGGCCATGGTGTAGCAATGGTTATACTATTGGAAGTGATAGTTTCAGAAAGACTTGATTGGTGACTGTTTTGGTCATAGTGACCATGACAGCTGTCTTGGCAGCAGCACTAATTTGTATATAAAATCTATGGAATATCACTGAGATATTTGCTGACTATCAAAGCATTTTTTCACTTATTTCAGCATCCCTCAAAGAAGTATGAAGCAAATACTCTTATTATCTCTAAACGTAGGAGAAGAAACTAAAGTATATAAAGGATAGTTTGGTTTTTCTGAGTCGCATCGTCAACAGGATTGGAGCCTGTCTGGTAACACAGGCCCTTTGGAATTTAGATTCTGTTATTAGTTAATATGTTAGGATACTTCTGGAGATCAGAATCAAACCAGATTTCTCCCAAATTCTACAGAGGGTGAGCAAGCATAGTAAGATGCTTCCAGATGAGATAAGAGCTTTGCACACTTTATTTCTCTTTGGAATTGAATTAGTTGACTGTCAGATTTGGGGCACTTAAAAAAGTGCCCTTCTTCTTTTGTTTTATTTAATACAGACATCCCAGTTTAATGGCTAATATGTTCTATTTATTTTTCCTAGCTAATTGGTCGGCCAGTGATGGTTCCTTACTGGTCCTTGGGGTTTCAGCTGTGCCGTTATGGATACCAGAATGATTCGGAGATTGCCGATTTGTATGATAAAATGGTGGCTGCTAAGATTCCCTATGTACGTTCTTAATCTGTGGTGTGCTAGCTCTGAAACCTCCTAAGAGTCATTACTGGATTCATTTGTTTGATTTGGGAGGGGAGGTGCTCAATCAAGTTGCAAAGTTCTTTCTCACAGAACACCATGCAGAACTCACTCAACCCAGCAATTCTGGGAGATTACTGTCCTCATCTAGTCATGTGGTTCACCAAGGGAGGGACCCTAACAGCCAATCAAAGGTTCTTTTTAAAAAAAAAAAACAGAAGTAAATGTACATTCACCACTGTACATTTCCCACTACCAATGGTCCCTGTTTTCCTCCTATCTCACCCCCCCGTCTCTCAGCAAGCACTGTTCTCTCTCTCTCTCTCTCTCTCTCTCTCTCTCTCTCTCTCTCTCTCTCTCTCTCTCTCGTCTCTCTCTCTCCACCCTTTGGCCACTATGGTTTACAATACAGATACTGAAAAGTTATCAGGTATATCCCTTTACCCACTTCAACACTCAGTTACTGTCCAGAGTGATGATTTCCAACAACCAAGGGTTCTTTTATACTATATCATACATACACATCTCTTAAATTGTTTCAAAAAAAGTTTAGTTATGAACATTCTTGGTGCCATAAGAACAAAAGAATTCCCCAACAGTACTGTTATTTGATATACAAACAAAGCCAGAGCCAAATTCAGTCCATCACACTGGTTATAGGTAAAATCTTGGTGAGAACTGAAGGCCACTATTCCCTGAACTCTGAGCTGATCCAGAGTCTAATGTGGGACTCCTTTTAGAGGAAGCACCTATGGAAACACACTCTGTTCTTCACTTGTGGATCGGAGAACAGGTTTTGATCATAAGAAAACTGATTCTTCTAACCATTGGCCGTTAAAAGGCACTTTATCATTCATTGTTTTGTTTTATTTTTATCATATCCCTAGTAGATAGGTCTTATTAACTATATTTTTCTATTCTGTTCATTTAGTCTTGCCCCCACCCCACTTTACAACAAACTAGAAACTTAGGTGATTTACTATATTACTAGTTAACAAACAACAAAACCGGAGTTTTAAAGAATAAGAAAATAAGAAAAAAGCAATTTGACACTTATTATCATGGTGGGGTGGGGGGTCACCTAGAATCGGGATGTTTACGCCAGCAGTCTCAGTTTCTTGTGCATTTCCCCTCCCCAGGATGTGCAATACTCTGACATTGACTACATGGAGCGACAGCTGGATTTCACTCTCAGCCCCAAGTTTAAGGGCTTCCCAGAGCTGATCAATCGCATGAAGGACGACGGGATGCGAATCATCCTCATTCTGGTTAGTACCCATGGGAACGTGAGGAGTCTCTTTAGGAAAGCCCATGGGGATTGGCGGAGAATGCTTTATCTTCTGCTTCTTTTGAACAGATATTCCTAGGTCTTATGGACTGTGAACATTGATACATTGGTTATAGGTGTGGGGGTAACACACTTAAGTGGTGCAAAAACTGCACTCCAAAATCAAATGGAGTGAAAGCCAATGCTACATATATATATATATATATATATATATATATATATGTATATATATATGTGTGTGTGTGTGTGTGTGTGTGTGTGTGTGTGTGTGTGTATTTCTGCAGATTCAGAGGAGTCCAAGTGGAGGCAATGCCTTCTCTTTTGAGTCAATTTCCAAGTAAGTCTCTGGCTTTGGCTTTTCTCTCCTGATCTGTCTGAATTCATTTCAGGATCCAGCTATTTCTGGCAATGAAACTCAGCCCTATCCTGCATTTGAGCTGGGGAAAAAGGATGATGTTTTCATCAAGGATCCAAGTGATAGAAGCATTGACTGGGGAAAGGTATAATCAGTGTTGATTTCTGAGGCTTTACTGGGTGCTTGGTACTAGTGTGAGAAGGTGGTTTCTTGGCCTTTTTGAGTCAGAAATACTTTTCCAGTCAGTGTTTATCAGTATGGTTAAGGAATTTTAAAGAACTGCGTACATCATGGTGTCTACATTTCCCCCAAATCAATTTTACCTGAAAATAAGAATGCATCTCCTCTAGGACCACGTTGTACAGTTTCTTAGGAGATACCGGGGTGAGAGAAATTACCTAGTGATTTGCTTCTGAACATTTTTCTTTCCATAGGTCTAGCCTGATTTACCCAGTGTTGTTATAAACAGTTCTCTAGACTGGGAAACTCAAGTGAAGATAAAGGGTTCTTGGTGGGCATGGGAAATTCAGGGTTGTCATCAAGATTCTATCTTACTTAGTTTGCTGATTTTTTTGCCTTGGATGTGTGGGTATAGTGAGGGAATAACCTCAGGGAGCCTGTCTTGAGCCCTAGGTAACAATTATTTTACATCATCTTTTTTATTTCTAATTGGGAGATGAGTATTATTACTCATTATTACTCATGAGTATTATTACTCAGTTTAGTGACTCAGAGAAGATATGACTTGTTCATGGTTTCAAGTAACAGACAGGGAATTTCAAATTCAAGGTTGTCAGATTCAAAGATGCATAAAATTTCCCTTGGATAATATTTCCAAGGACTTGGGCCACATTTGCAGCCACGCGACGTCTTATCAGGACATCTTTTTATGACATCTTATTATCTCATTCCTACTTTGGACAAACTTGCAGCCTATCGAATGTAGCCTGCCCACAGGGCAGAGTCTGGCGTACCAAATATGCCAAATACCAGTAACAATGGTGGGTCTCATTCTCCTAAAGAGCCTTGAATATAATCTCAGGGCTAGGATGAAGGAGACGTTACTGGGGCCTGCTCGAGGCAATCGACGAATAACAGGATGATGAAATGAAAATGAAAAAATGAAATATTTCCAAAAACTATTGTCTTCTACCACATTTAGTAGGTTTCTTGTTGCTGTTTTTTTGTTTTGTTTTTCATAACTTTTCCTGTCTTCAGGGTTTGGGTCTTCTTAAACAGGCTCCTCCTTCTTCACTCTTTTTTTCTCTTCTTCACTCTTATTACCACCACATTCCTCTTTGTTCGGTTTCTCTGCTGTGTTCTTAGTTCCAGTGTGAGTCTATGTTGAAACTTGCTCCCTACCGAGAACAAGTTCTTACTTATAATTGATTTCAGAGAAGTACTCAAGGAAGAATGCCTAGCTTCATGTTCTCTCTGTTTCTCTATAGAAGATAATTTCAATTTAGGTGGTAAGACACATGCACACAGAAACCTGCCAGATCAGAGAAGGTCGAAGCTATGTACCTTTGAGATTTATTTATTTGAAAAAAATCCCTTCTTCCAGCTTAATGAAAGTATAATTGACTAATAAAATTACAAAGTTTATAATATATTTTACATGCATACACATGCACATGTATAATAAATGAACGATAAAAGGTTTATTATATGCCATCACCTCATATAGTTACCCATTGGATGTGCATTTATTGAGCAAAGTTAAGATATATATCTTACAAGTACAACATCAGTGATAATCATCACATCATTACATATATCCCAAGTACTTATACATCTTTTTGGGGGGTGGGGGAGCACACCAAGTGGTGCTGAGAGTTACTTATGGCTCTGCACTCAGAAATTACTCCTGGCAGAGTTCATGGAATCATATGGGATATGGAGGATTGAACTCAGCTGGGCTGTATGCAAGGCAAGTCTTATCCTCTGTACTATCGCAAAAAGAAAAGACTTGTTTATTTGTTTGGGGCCCACACCTGGCAGGTTGTTCCTGACTCTGAGCTCAGGGTTCACTCCTGGTGGCATTGGACAATCAAAGTGGTGCCTGGGATCTAACCCTGGTCAAAGGCTTGCAAGGCAAGTGTTGTACCTGCAGTATTATCACACTCCATTGTGTGTTCTTCGCACTCTAACACTAAAGATCAGTTGACTCTCTCTGTACAATTATTTCTGGGATTAAATTTTGTTTTATTGGTTTGTGTATCTGTTTTCATGCCAGATACTAGGCTTTTTAATCACTTTGCTGGGAAAGAGTTTCCATCAGCAATAAGAGGATGGGCTTTCAATATTGAACCTCAGAATTTTTATACATTGCTAACATTTATTTTGTCTGGTTCTGCTGGTCAAGCACAACCAGTGGAATAAGGCATAAGATCCTTGCTCTTTTTGTATTGGTTAAGGATCACTTCCAAGTTAAAATGAAGATATGAATAATTTGTTCATTAATTAGGGACGATCAGTCAGTGGTGAGGAGGGCTAAAACTTCTTTCTTAGCTTCTCCCAATTACTAGATTCACAATTAAGTTTTCAGTTTATTCTGAAGCTACAGAAAACACAGGTGGATATTAGTTAAATAGTCTAGTCTACTACAATTCAGTCTCCCTTTTTCTCAGTGGTAAGGAGACAGGAGAGGAAGAACATCTGTGGACCATGCAGCAGATGTTTCTCCTTCCCAGACTGTGTCTCTCCAGCCCATTCTACATGTCAAAGGAATACTGAGGACACTACAGGGGGAGAGTTGAGGGTTGAACATTTAATACAAAAAAAAACAGTCAATTCACAGTGTTAGTTTTTACTGGTCACATTAACACAAAGAGAAGAGAAGTATAATGGCTGCTTTCCAAATGCTAAGAGACCATTTAAATTGTGTTATTTTTTTCTTCATCCTCATTGAAATAGAAATGAAAGCAGAACATTATTTAGGCTTTGCTCTATTAGACTTTGCTTTCTTTGCTAATCCATAGTTCATGTCTTTGCTGAGTTAGGGTCTCAGTAAATGCCTACTGCTGCCCAATATGCTTACTTAGAATAAATGAATTACATCTAATTATCATATTAAATTACTATTTAATTATTAATTTTTTGATTATAAATAAATTCTATTTTGTTTTTATGTGACAGCTGTACCGAGCTCATGCAGCTTTCCCAGACTTTTTCCGAACTTCAACTATAACCTGGTGGAAGAATGAGTTGAAAGAATTACACAACAATACGCGGGAATCCGAAAAGAGCCTGAAGTATGATGGCATATGGATTGTAAGTGTGTGTTTTGTCTGTGCACACACTGATAGTATGTTTATTTCTGTGTGTCTAAGCAGCTATATGGCTGAAATTTAATTTACTAGTAGTGATCATTAAGAAAGACTTTGTGTATATCAGATGCAATTGGTCCATTTGGTAGTAAATCCCAGTGTGATTGCCAGAAATATTTTGAAATAGAGTGTTCTCACATCCTCAAACAAGAAGTTTTAAAAATAAAAATCCCTCTCTCTAGATATTACAGTTCATTTTCAGCTGGATTGGGTACATTTCCCTGGGTTTGTATTCAGGGTTTTATGATACAGTGAATTAATTAATTCACCACTTCCTTGCCTCTGAATTGACAGCATGTAAATCATTTTCAAAAGTAAAATAAGCCTGTTTGACATTTCTAGGATATGAATGAACCCTCCAGCTTTGTGAATGGGGCAGTTGAAGGCTGCAAAGATCCCACTCTGAACAGACCTCCCTATATGCCACGTAAGCATCCTGGGTATTCTCTGCTAGTAGAATAATGGCTATCAGGAGTGCCTCATGCAAGAGTCCAGCAGTCAGGGGATTTTTCTGATCACTGGCACACATTCTCACTGGTGTTTTTATTGGTGGGAGGAGGATGTCAGAGACAAATAGACTTCAAGTACTTCACCCACTTGGGTATATGAAAATTACTGGCTCCACTGAATGAATTCCTCAAATTTGTTCAGAAAGCTAGATCTAATTCAGACATGTCAATTCCTTTGTGACTAATTTTTGGGTCACTAAATAGAGAATGTTATTGCTTCCCCATCTATCATGACAACATGGACATTGGAGTCACACTTTTTGTGATACCTCTGTTATAGAACATCATTTTCCAATAATTGTATGACCTACAGTAGAATACTTGAGCTTATCTAAATTAAGAGTCTTAAAATGTTTATATAATCATGATTTTTAATATTTTATATGTAATATATATAATTTATATGTAATAATGTACATCGGAGAAGCTTAGATTGGAGCCTGTTAGTCACCAGATTTGATCACAGGGTGTTCTTCCTTGTGATCCCACGCTCACCCTGGCGGATTGATATTGAAACACTCTGTGGGTGTCATTGCAGCTCAGAGATGAGTGTACCCTCATTCCTCTGGGGAGGAGAGAGACCCTTACAGTGGCAAAGAGGCCTTGATGAGAAGCTGGGGTGAATAGCATCTGGATAGCTTTCCCATCTCTGCATCTCTTGTTTCAGATCTGGAAACCAGAGACAGAGGTCTAAGCAGCAAGACCCTGTGCATGGAGAGTGAGCATATCCTGGAAGATGGCACCAAAGTGCAACACTACAATGTGCATAACCTGTATGGGTGGTCCCAGACCAGACCTACCTACGAGTGAGTTGTCATCTCCCTTCTTCTGTCGTACAACCTGCAGTGATTGCCCATGGCTGATGACACCACTGACTTTCCTTTTCAATCCCCCTTAGAAGGGCTAATAAGACTTTTAAAACAGGGTCACAGCTCACATTTATTAAACAAACACTTGCTAGCATGAAGCCAGAACCCGTGAAGGCTGATCTATACAAGGCATTGTCCTGCTAGTGAAAACTCAGAGGCAGGACAGGGGTTTACCACTGTGAATTTGATTGAAACTAATGAGCTTTCACAGAAAAAGGAGGCAGAGGACTGGTTAGATCTCTCCTTTATTTCTAAGATGACCTCTCTCCCTAACACACATTTACACACTTGAATCATTCTTATTCTATAGTCAATTGATACTTTTATGAATTAAAACTGTTGTATTTTGTGTATTCATTCGGACAAGTAACAAAATTTATCCTAAAGAAAGCCTTATACAGAGTCATTCTGACAACATAATACTACGTGTTGAGTAAATAAATGGCAATAGCAACTTCTCTAAATTGACCCAATGAGTTTTTTCCATGGTGATTTTCTTTCTTTTTGCTAAATAGTGTAAATTACTCTGTAAAAGCATGTTCGTTATTATTGCTTCCATCATCTGGACTCAGTCAGGTGGGATCTTATCATGATTTCCATTTCTGTTTTCTCTCTAATAACATAGTGGCAATTTGTCACCGTAATGTAGGCCTGGGAGCTCTGGGAAGAAACCGTCTGTGGTCTTTCCTCCCCTGCTCTGGCCAACAATCATTTCCTTCATTCTCTCCAACCAGAGGTGTGCAGGAGGCGACTGGAGAGCGAGGGATTGTCATTACCCGCTCCACGTACCCGTCTTCTGGTCGCTGGGCAGGACACTCGCTGGGAGACAACACTTCTGGGTGGGACCAGTTGAAGAAATCTATCATTGGTGTGTGGGCTTGTTCCCAGGGTCTCTGCTTTCTGGTGTGGGGAGGGGAGGTTGGTGAAGGGGAGGTATAGAGATAGGTTCTCTGATAAAAACCTGAGAAAAGGCTGGGAAGAAAGCTCAATGCTCTTTAAGTGCTCTGCTCGGCACTGCATGGTCCCCTGAGCTCTGCTGGGATCAACCTTCACACATGGAGACCCTGAGCCCTGGCCTGAAAACAAGAAACAAAAATGATCTAAGCGAGAAGGAGGAGGCAGGTGCCAATCGTGGTATCTGACACAGTGTGCTCTCATTGCAGGCATGATGGAGTTTAGCCTCTTCGGCATATCCTATGTAAGTATCCCTGACACCACTCTAAATCATCAGGTAAATGGTGACATCTTTCAAAAGCAATTAATAGCCACATTATATTCCATTTTTTTCAGACAGGAGCAGATATTTGTGGGTTCTTTCAAGATGCTGAATATGAGATGTGTGCTCGCTGGATGCAGCTGGGGGCATTTTATCCCTTGTCGAGGAACCATAACACCTTTGGGACCAGGGTAGGTATTTTCCCTTATTTCAAAAGTTCTGTATGGACAAGAAAATAGTCTCTAGTTCTGAGATACAATTCATGAAATCAGTTTTCCCTGGAGACATCACAAAGACAACTAAATCCTTATGCTGAAACTATTTAATATCTACCCTCCTAGAAACTTTCCAATAAATGTCACAGATCGTTAACTTTAGTCACCATGCCACATGCTAAATTACCATAATATATGCAGTTTACAACAATAAGTTGATTTCTGTTATAAATATATGCAATTTATAGTAGTAAATGGCCACTTTGGCCGCTTCACCCATCTCTTATATCTGATAACCACCAATCTGCATTTTGTTTCCATGTGTTCTACTTTGTAAAATGCCACATATAAATGATATAATACAGTAATTACTTTCTGTCTGAAACATTTTATTTCACATGGTGAAATCAAGATCCATCTATATTTTTGATAGTAATAGAGTTTCTTTTTCATGGCTAAATAATATTCTATAAACCACACATATACATGAATTCTGATATATATTTAATATATTAATTTATTTTGTATCTCCATATAAACACACATATATACAGACACAAACTCACAAGTGGAACAAGTGGAATTGCTGTATCATGTGGCAGTTTCTTTTTCAATTTTGAGTAAAAACATACCATTTCACATGGACGCTGTAAATTAAGACTACTGCTGCCCACTTCCCTCCATTTCTTAGCTAAAACTTGTTATCTTTTAGCTTTTTGATAATCCCATTCTAACAGGTATGGGATAATATGCCATTATGTTTTTTTCTTTGTATTTCTCTCATATTTAGTAATATTTAGCATCTATCTATATATACCTATGACTATATGCCATCAATGAAAACAAAATATCAATAACAGGAAGAACTAAAACATTAATAAACATGAGAAAATAGAAGTTATGAAAAAATCTTAAGGCAAAACTATAAACATAAGATCAAAAATTTTGTAAAATGTACCAGAAGTAGTTCTAGTAAGAGTTTTTAGTGATAAATTACTAATTTTCATTAACAACAGCAACAAAAATTTTGCTCTCCCTTTCACCATGGCCCGTTTCAGGATGGAAAACCTTGTCCTAGGACCTTGAGGGCCTCTTCCTTGCCAACCACAGCCCCTAGATCAGGAAGCTGCACCAACTGACTCAACTCTAATTCTTCAAGCCCCAAAATGCACAGGACACTTTTGTGTCTGCAAGAAATTATTACCAAACACATTCTTCCTCCACATTGAAGCCAGTGTTTCCAACATCTCATTTCATTGACTTTCGCAGCTGAAAAATCTCAAAGGGTCTCTACCTTTCTAGTTAAAGAAACTAACAGCACATAGATCAACTGAGATTAAAGCAAGTTGAATAAAGGAACTAAGGATAAGGTCAGAAATAAAGAAAATAGACTGTAAAAGTGATAGAGAAAATTAATAAAACTCAGAGCTGATTTTTTCAAAAAGATACAGAAAAATTGACAAACATCTAAGTTGGACTTCCTAAAATCCGAAGACTCCATAAAGAAAATGATAAATATAATAAATAAGCAAAATGTTAAATAAATAAGATATTGCACCTCACACCAAAAAATACAAGAAATTATGAGATTCTTCTATTACTAATTGTATACTGACATGTTTAGACAATGTACAAGAAACAAAGAAATTTCTAGGCATACTAAACAAACAAGCCTAGCAAGACTGAGTCATGAAGATATGAAAATATGAAAATATGAACAGAACAGCCATGAATAAAGACATCGATTCAATAGTCAAAAACATTAAAAAACAGTACTAAGTGCTTTCCTTGGTGAATTTTATCAAACATTTTAAGAACTAACGACAATTATTTTAAAACGTCATGAAAATTGAAGTGTACTAAACATTCCCAATGTTCATTTTATGGAACATTGCCTCGATACTAAAGCTGGATAAGGATAGTATAAAAAAGAAAAATAAAACTGAACAATGATATACCTGATAAATAAAGATTTAAAACTGAACAAAATATTAGCACAGTAAGAATGAGGTGCCTGGGCAAGACAGATAGTACAGGGATTAAGGCCCTAGCCTTGCATGCAACAATTCCAGACAGATTCCCAGCAATGCGTATGGCTCCCTGCACACTGCCAGGAATGGTCATCAGAGCAAACTCTGAGCACTGCCAGGTGTAGACCCCAAACTAATAAATAAATAAATAAATAAATAGAAGAATTTGTTGCCATTTTATCAAGTATGATTTAAACCTTGGCATGCAAAGGTGATTCAATATGTGCAAACAAATTAATGTGATACTCCACTTTAACAGAATGAAAAATAAAAATTATATCATAATTTCAATAGGTGCAGAGAAAATGTATGACAAGAACAACATCCTTTTATGATAAAAACCCTTAACAAAATATTTTTTTTACTCAGTTTGTTTCACCCACTGGAAGAAATCTATCCTACATTATACAGACTTTATTGACACGAACATATTATATTCAACAGTGAAACGTTAAAAACCTATTTAATGTCAGGGACAACTCAAAGGTGCTATTAATATCACTCCTAATTTCCATAGTAGTTGAAGTCCTAGTCAGAGCAATCAATCAGTCAAGAGCAATATATAAAAGGTATACAAAAATAAAGGAAGATGTAAACTAATCTCTTGATAATTTAATGATCTTATATATAAAAATCCTATGGATGATACAAAAACTATTGGAACTAATAAATTTCCAGATATTATTTCTTATTCACAAAGAAATATCTGAAGAAGTAAAGAAAACAATCTCATTTATAATGCATCAAAAAGCAATAAAATACTTAGGGAATGCATATAATTGAGAAAGTGAAAGACTCACGCACTGAAAACTATAACACTGATGAAAGAAGTTTAAGAAAACAAAAACAAATGACAATATCGTACTTGCTTATGGATCAGTAGAATTATTATTGTTAAGATAACCATGCAATTTAAACCCATGCATAGTCAATTCCTATAAAAATTCACGTGAAATTTCTTAAAGTTGAAACAGAAAATCTCTGAAGAATGGTATAGAACTACAAAAGACTTTCTAAAGTCAAAACAATCATGAGTAAAAAGAACAAAGTTAGAAATATTATGCATCTATTTCAAATGGTATTGTAAAACTATAATAAACCTAATGTATTGCTAGTGGTGTAAAAATAGAGCCCTAAGAGAGAGCCTAGAAACGAATCTTTAAATATACTGAAAACTAACACTTGACAGTAGATCCAGGAATTCCCAATGTAGAAAAGGTGGCATATTTAATACGTGACGTTAAGAAAAACTAGGTAATCAACACGTAGCTGAGTTAATTGGTCGCTGGTTATGAATACCAACATCACCACTAACAAAAATAAACTAAATATAATACCAGAAACTAGAAAGATTATAAAAGAAAAATATGTAAAAACGATGCCAGAAAAAAAGAGAGAGGAAGCTTTCTGATTCTGTTCTTGGCATTGAAATTTTTAGATATGACATTAAGACAAAAATTATTAGCAAAAATAACAAGCAAGACTATACCAAACAGAAAATCTTCCATGGATCAAAAGAAACAACAAAATTAGAAGACAATCTTTTGGAATTGGAGAAAATATATGCAATCCATGTATTGGATAGGGAGACAATATTTTGATACATGTAATACAATGCAGTGGAAATAGAAAATTTTCATTTAAAAATGTTCATAAGAACTTAATGGATGATTTTCTAAAGTTGACATACAAATAGTCATCAGCTGCATGGGCTGAAATCTATGCTTCAGTAAATACAATTGTCTTTGTTTTTTTAATATTATTCTTTCTGTTTTTTATCAGCGGATAGCATTAGCTGCCTTTGGATAGTTTCAGTAAAAATATTACTTTGGTCTATTAAAAATATTCTGTATCATCTATAATTATTCTTAGTTTAGTTGTGTGTCATCATCTTTTGGAATACATATTTAGGGACCTTCTTAAGGCCCTCCCCTGCCCTGCACCCCCCTTCCCCCTACACCCACTCCACCTCATCCCACTAATGTTAGTACTTTGTTACTTTTTCAGAGGCAAGATCCTGTATCTTGGGATAAAAACTTTGAGGATATCTCTAGAAGTGTCCTGAATATCAGATACACCTTGTTGCCATATCTCTATACCCTGATGCACTTGGCCAACACAGAGGGCAGTACTGTCGTGCGGCCTCTATTCCATGAGTGAGTATCTCACTGGGGTCCAAATGATACTTGCATTCTCTGTGGTTCCAGTTGAAGAAAACAAAGCTTTCAAATCAAAAGGAAAATGATTGCCTTTGTCATAGCTTTCTGGGCAGAGTCATGCTTCACCAGTCTTTCAGCAGAGTATCAAACATGCGTTGGGTCTTGGATAAAAGGCTTGAGAAAGTCAAATATGTTTGACTTGAAATGTGTCCAGGTTGAGGCACATGGAGATATCCATGGTGATCACTGCATCACTGTATCACTGTCATCCCGTTGTTCATTGACTTACTCGAGCTGGTGCCAGTAATGTCTATTTGTCCAGCCCTGAGATTTTTTTTAATTTTTATCAATGAAACGCCATGAGGTACAGTTCTAGACTTACAAATATTTGTGCTTGAGTTTCAATTATACAGTGATTGAGTACCCATCCCTCCACCAGTGCCGATTCTCCACCACCACTAATCCCAGTATCCCTCCCACACCCACCCCTCATCCCACCCTGCCTCCGTGGCAGAGCAATCCCTTTTGTTCTCTCTCTCCTTTTGGGTGCTGTGGTTTGCAAAAGAGGAATCGAGTGGCAATCATGTTCAGTCTATAGTCTACTTTCAGCATGCATCTCCCATTCTGGGAGGATCCTCCCAACAACCTTTACTTGGTGTTCCCATCTCTATCTGAGATGCCTTTTCCCCTAGCATGTGTGGCTGGCCTTCAAGCCATGGAGTGAACCTCCTGGTACTTTTCTCAACTATTCTTGGATGTTAGTCTCCTATTTTTCCTATTTTGTTACTTTATATTCCCCAGATGAATGCAATCTTTCTATGTCCGTCCCTCTCTTTCTGACACATTTTGCTTAGTATGATACTTTCCATGTAGTACCACTTGTATGTAAATTCCATGACTTCAACTTTTCCAACAGCTGCATAGTATTCTATTGTTTAGATATACCAAACTTTCTTTAATCAGTCATCTGTTCTCGGACACTCGAGGTTTTTTTCTAAATCTTGGCTATTGTGAACAGTGCAGCAATAAACATAGAAGTGGAGATGTCATTTTGTCTATACTTTTTTTGCCTCTCTGGGATATATTCCCACGAGTGGTATTGCTGGGTCAAATGGGAGCTCAATTTCTAATTTTTTTGAGAATTGTCCATAAGTTTTCCAAAAGGGGTGAACCATCTGGCATTCCCACCAGCAATGAAGGAGGGCCCCTATCTTGCCACATCTGCGCCAACACCAGTTGATTTTGTTCTTTTGGATGTGGACTTTTGTTCTTTTGTGTGAGATAATATCTAATTGTTATCTTGATCTGCATATCCCTGATTATTTATGATGTAGAGCATTTTCTCATGTGCCTTTTAGCCATTTGGATTTCTTCTTTGAGAAAGTTTCTGTTTATTTCATTGCTACATTTTTTGATGGGGTTGGATGTTTTCTTCTTGTGGAGTTCAACCAGTACTTTGCATATCCTTGATTTCAACTCCTTGTCGGATGGGTAGTGGGCAAATATCCTTTCCCATTCTGTAGACTGTCTTTGTATTTTGCTCACTGTTTCTTTTGAGTTGCAGAATCTTCTTAGTTTAAGATAGGCCCTTTTGTCTATCTCTGTTTTCACTTGCTTGGCCAGTGGTGTGACATCTTTGAAGATACCATTAGCTTCAATGTCATGGAGGGTTTTGCCAACTTTGTCTTCCCAATGTACCTTATGAATTCAGGTCTGATGTTGAGGTCTTTAATCCATTTTGATCTAACTTTTGTACATGGTGTTAGGCAGAGATCTGAGCCCATTTTTTTGCATGTAGCCATTCAGTTTTGCCAGCACCATTTGTTAAAAAGGCTTTCCTTACTCCACTTCACATTTCTTGCTCCTTTATCAAAGATTAGGTGATCATATGTATCGGGGGAGATGTCAGTATATTCAACCCTATTCCATTGGTCTGTGGCTCTGCCTTTGTTCCAGTACCATGCTGTTTTAATTATTACTGCTTTGTAATAGAGTTTGAAGTTGGGGAGGTTGATTATTCCCATTTTCCTTTTCTCAAGAATTGCTTTAGCTATTTGTGGGTGCTTATTGTTCCATATGAATTTCAGGAGTGTTTGCTCCATTTCTTTGAAGAATGTCATGGGTATCCCTATAGGGATCTCATTGAATTTGTACAATACTCTGGGAAGTATTGCCATTTTGACAATGTTAATTCTCCTGATCCATGATCAGGGAATATCTTTCCATTTCCTCATCACTGTCACTGTCACTGTCCTCCCGTTGTTCATCAATTTGCTCGAGCGGGCCCAGTAACGTCTCCATTGGAGACTTTTGTTGTTATTGTTGTTGTTACTGTGTTTGGCATATCAAATACATCACAGGTAGCTTGCCAGGCTCTGCCGTACGGGCGAGATACTCTCAGTAGCGTGCCGGGCTCTCCAAGAGGGGCAGAGGAATTGGGCGGAGGAATTGAACTCTGGTCGGCCATGTTGGCTGCGTGCAAGGCAAATGCCCTACCGCTGTGCTATTGCTCCAGCCACATTTCTTCATGTCCTCTTTTATTTCCTGAAGTAGCGTTTTGTAGTTTTCTTTTTACAGGTCCTTTACTTTCTTAGTTAAGCTGATTCCTAGATACTTGATTTTCTGGGGCACAGTTGTGAATGGGATTGTTTTCTTCATGTTACTTTGTTCTCTCTCACTATTTGCATATAGGAAAGCCATGGACTTTTGGGTATTGATTTATAGCCTGAAACTTTACTATACAAGTCTATTGTTTCTAGGAGTTTCTTGCTAGAGGTTTTAGGGTTCTCTAAGTATAGTATCATAACATCTGTGAATAGTGCGAGCTTGATTTGTTTCTTTTCTACGTGGATTCCCTTAATATCTTTTTCTTGCCTAATTGCTATTGCAATTACTTCCAGTTCTATATTGAACAGCAGTGGAGAAAGTGGGTATCCTTGTCTTATCCTTGATCTTAGGGGGAATGCTCTCAGTTTTCCCCATTGAGGATGATGCTTGCTGTAGGCTTGTGGTAGATGGCTTTAACTATTTTGAGAAAAGTCCCCTCTATACCCATGTTGGTGAGGGTTTTCATCATAAACGGGTGCTGTATCTTGTCAAATGCTTACTTTGCATCTATTGATATGATTGTATGTTTTTTATCTTTTCTCTTATTGATATGATGGGTTACGATAATTGATTTCTGAATGTTAAACTATCCTTGTATCCCTGGGATGAATTCCACTTGGTCATGGTGGGATTCAACTCGTCTTTTTGATGAGTTGTTGAATTGTATTTGCTAGTATTTTGTTGAGAATCTTCACATCCGTGTTCATCAAGGATATCGGCCTGTAGTTTTCTTTTCTTGTGGTGTCTTTGTTTCCTTTAGGTATTAGAGAAATATGGGCTTCATAGAAACTTTTTGGGAGAGTTTCTGTTTCTTCAATTTTCTGGAAAAGCTTGAGAAGAACTGGCAATAGGAACTCTTTAAATGTTTGGGAAAGTTTGCTAGTGAATCCATCTGGATTGGGCTTTTGTTTTGGGGAAGACTTTTGCCAGCTCTGAGATTTTAGCAGCCTCTCCTTACTCATATTTCCCAAGGATTGGAGGCTCTTTCAGGATCAGCGTAATGAGTCCTGTTATAGTTACTGGTTTTGGCATATCGAATATGCCATGGGGAGCTACCCAGGCTCTGCCCGTATGGGCAGGATACTCTTGGTTGCTTGCTGTGCTCTCCAAGAGAAATATATATATATATATATATATATATATATTACTCTATGGTTTGTTGCCTACTGTCTGAACTCCATCAAACATGGTGTGGTAATTATGGAAAATGGGTAGGAGTTGTCGCACAGTCCAGAAAGCAGCCTGGAGCATGGTGGAGGTGGGGTAGTGGATATCTGTTCCCAGGGCTGGGTCCTTTGGGACGGGGAGGGCTCTTGCTTGCCCCCCTCTGGGGTGTCTTGAGTGAAAACTGGCTGGTGTGAAGTCCTGTGGTATGGTTATGGGGGCCTCATTTTATACTCCCATGTGGGAGGAGCAGCCGTGAGCTCTGGACGGTGGTCAATGACGAGATTATCTGGTACGGGCAGGGTGTGGCTTATGGGTGTGACCCCTGGGTCACCGGAACTGGGGGAAGCAGGCAGAGAATCACTGTTCCAGGTCCTGTTCGGTCCAGAGTTCAAGGTCACAAAGTTTCAGATTACCCGGCTTCCATGGGACCTCAATCCTGCACAAACCTTGACCAGAGCATCCGGAAAGCGGCCTGGAGCATAGTGTGGCTCTTGCCCACCCCCCTCTGGGGCACCCCAAGAGAAAACAGTCTATCACAGAGTCCGGAATCTATGGTGATAACATATATAAATTCAGTCATTTCTGGAGCTGGATAAGCATGCCTTACACATAGTGAGTAATGTGTCTGGTCAACAAGTAATGAATAGTATAGTATGAGGCAGATTTTTGAGCCAAGTCTAAATAGGAGGGATTCTTTAAGGTCTTGGGTTGTGGTTCTGCTGTAGAATCCTAATAGTGGTAACATATCTTCTCTTTCCAGGTTTGTGTCGGACAGAAAAACTTGGGACATAGACAGGCAGTTCCTGCTGGGCCCAGCTTTCCTAGTCAGCCCTGTCCTGGAACCTGTGAGTATGAGGTCCTCTGGCAATAAAGGGATCCCGAGGCAGATAAATAGGGAAGAAGAACTGTTCTGGTAGGAATTCTTATTCTACTATATCCCCTCCTCTCCCTCTGAGCTGAAGTCCTTCACTAGGTGTTCTGGTCCTTTGCATCCTTAACTTTTAAATAAGTGCAACAAATCTGATTGACTAGACAATCCAGAAGGGGAAAAAGATATCTTCTATATTTAAAAACACAATCATCTCTTTAATTGAAATCAGCAGTATAGGTCATGTGGGTGTAGAACTATGAAGAATTTGTTGCCATCATCTACTATCATAAAAACAAAACTTTGATTAGAGGTGCATATAGTCTTGTTGTTGGCTAGTACTTCTCTTCCTGCTGTCAGAGGATTTGGGGTACCCCCTTTTACTTTGGTGGTGATTGTATTTCTGACTAAAATACTAGTTAATGATATCCTCCCCAAACTTATTGCATTAATAATAATTTCTGAAGTATTTTTTGTTTGTTTGCTTGACAAAAAAACACAGGGTTATACCCCATGATGTTCAAGGCTTACTCCTGGCTCTTTGCTTAGGAATCATTTCTTAGGGTTGATTTTTAAACCAATATGTGCTATCATATTTTGAACTAGGGTTGCACATGTGCAAGGCAAGCATCTCAATACCTGAACTATCTATCTGGTATCGTAAAGTCCTGACATCATAAACACCATAAAACTTGGGTTGTTTTAAACCCAGCTTCAAGATTTTTTCTTTAGAAAGGGCACAGGAGAAGTCAAAAAGCAAGTATAATCATCTTTGTCAAGTTCTATGTTCCAATAGGTTTTATGGAATGTCCTTTTTAAGGTAGGCAGATCATTTTCCATTTAAGAAGGGGAAAGAGGGAACAGTCTCCCCCAATATTATTGGCTTGTAGATTTTGAGACATGTTTCATTACTCTTTGACACATCTTTTATGCAAATTGGTTACTCTGCTCTGGATAACTAACATAGCCCACTGTCCATGCCTTTGTGTTTTATTTTAGAATGCTACAACTGTCAATGCATATTTTCCTGATGCCCGCTGGTATGATTACCACACGGTAAGTTTTTCTGATTGTGTGTGCAACCTGGGAAAACAGAAGTGTGCTCAAATGTCAGATAAAATTCTGGCTGCATAGGAGCTAGAGAGATAGTGTTGAGCTTAACTTGCATGAGGTCGCCCTAGTTTCCACCCTCAGCACCCCATATATTCTCGTGAACCCAGCCAAGAAGGATCCTTGGCATAGAACCAGGAGATCCATGATGTTTTTTTCTCCTTTAAAACAGTCAAATGCACTCCACTATCAAACCTGACTGGCATCTGGTTTTGTAAGTAACGTTTAATTGGAATTCACTGTAGGCATTTTTTAACTTATCAACAATAATTGGGTTCCCAATTCGACAACAGAGTTCTTTGGTTACATCAGAAATTAGCTGGAGCATAATTTTTAAATTTATTGCTTCTTATATGGCCTTTTACAAAGTTTATTAATCCCTGTTACAGAGGATACACAAACTGATGCAACCTATTACTGAAATGTATGTGATCATGTGAAAGGAACAGAGCAATTATCTAAAAACATTGTAGAAAAATAAACCTCCATTATAGAAAAATAGATGCAGGCAGACTAGGTAAAAAATAGAAGACATTTGGGGGAGTTGGGTATTGTTGAAAAGGAATCCCGAAAGATAGATGGATGTTTAAAAAGTTCACTAGGAAAGTCAAAGTACCTTCACCGATAAAAATACAAACATACAGAAGGTCAAACAGTAGAAAACGGAAAGCAAAATTAATCATTTTTGAGCACCAAGAGATACCACTTCCCACCACAAGAATGTCCATCAAAAAATGATAAAAAATAAAATGATGGACAGGTGTAGGGAAGAAATGCCCAGCAAACTGCAGGTGGGAATGTAAGTAGCTATAGTCATTATGGAGAATAGAACTGGGGATCTTGAAGAAAAGAATACCACTACCCTCTGATTCAGTTAATTACTCTTTGTAGAGTGCTTTGCCTGTCCCTGTTGCTCTTGGTGAACATAGATACACGGTCATGGTCACGGTCCTCCCGTTGTTCATCGATTTGCTTGAGTGGGCCCAGTAATGTCTCCGTCATGAGACTTGTTGTTACTGTGTTTGGCATATCGAATACATCATGGGCAGCTTGCCAGGCTCTGCCGTGAGGGCAAGATACTCTTGGTAGCTTGTCTGACTCTCCGAGAGGGGCGGAGGAATCGAACTCGGGTTGGCCATATTGGCTGCGTGCAAGGCAAATGCCCTACCGCTGTGCTATAGATACAATAAAATCTATTTTTGCTCATCCACTCTTATTTCATCATGTAATGCATTAAGTAGTTTGAGTGGTTTGTGGCATTCATTTAAAAGAGAGGAGCATAGAAATAATTCAATGTGTCTTATCCATTAACAATTTTTATGACATTAAGAGCAGACTGTGTATATGAATTAAGGGTAGTTTTCTTGGTTACAGCATAGAACATATGTTGGGGTTTTAAAATAGTGTTTTAATCCACTACCTCCACTACCCAGCCATGCCACACTCCAGGATGCTTTCCGGACACATCATAAGACACTTAATACCCATCTTCCAGGATTGCTGCACCATATTTGATAGGGTTCAAATATGGTTTGAACCATGGGAACACCTACAAGGGCAATTAGAGGCCGCCCCAAAAGCCTCTATTTCTCTCAGAGAGCCTGGTAAACTACCGAGAGTATTCCGCCCGCATGGCAGAGCCTGGAAACCTATTCGTTGTGTATTTGATATGCCAAAACAAGTAATTACAATGGATCTAATTCTGACCCTGAAGGAGTCACCAATATGGCAGCGTTGAGAAGGGTGAGAAAGGAGCAGCTGATAAAATCTCAAGGCTGAGCTAGGCTGCCAAAATTAAGAAAGTCAAAAATGATTGTCTGTAATTTCAATGCATGTACACTGGCATCTGATGCATCCATAGAGGACCTGATGGTACGAGTGCGAAAGGTCTAGTACGACATTATTGATCTGATCGAGACAAGAAGGCATCAATCACATCACACCGTTTTTGACATTGGAGAAGAACTATTCCTCAGAACATGTGACAAAAGAGGCGTCGGAAGCATTGGTGTCCTTGTCAATATGAACTTGACATGGGCATTGATTCATTCAAATGCCTAACAACCCGAATGGGACAATTACACTTGAATAGATATGGCTCACTGCCGGCAGCTTCTATCTTTGTTGTCTACATACCAACATCCAATTATGACACTGTCACACTGTTCTCCCATTGTTCATCGATTTGCTCAAGTGGGCCCAGTAACGTCTCCATTGTGAGACTTCTTGTTACTGTGTTTGGCATACTGAATACTCTCGGTAGCTTGCCAGGCTCTCCGAGAGGGGTGGAGAAATCGAACCCGGCTTAGCCGGGCTGACTGCACACAAGGCAAATGCCTTACCGCTGTGCTATCACTCCAGCTCCCAGGATCCAATTATGATGAAGAAGAAATTGAGAAGTTCTACATGGAGCTGGAGAAGTCCTATAAAGAAGACCACACCTTCTACAAGATCATTGTTGGCGATTTTAATGCCAAGATAGGATGGAGAAGATCAGCTGAAGAACTCCACAATGGGACCCATGGTCTAGAATGGAATGAACAGGGTGAGAGACTGTCTGAATTTATCATGTTGACCAAGACCATCCATAGTAACTCACAGTTCCAGAAGGCCGAATATAAACATTGGACATGGGAGTCTCCCGGTGGATGGTTCCACAATGAAATTGACCACATCATATTCAATCAATGGTTTTGCCTGACTGATATCGCTGTTGTCCCAAAATTTCAAATTGGATCAGACCACCATCTGCTTCATGCAAAGTTCTACTTCACAGAGTGGGAAGAAAGGGCTGTAAAGTTTAAGAAGAGAACTCCCAGAATGACCAGCAACTGGGAGCTCTTTGGCACTATTGCTGCAACATGGGAAGATGCCATCATTGACAACACTGATGAAGAATGCAATTGACTGGTTCGGCACCTCCATGAGGAACACCAAGAGAGAGATAGCCACAAAAAACATCTGTCTTGTGCGAGGAACACCAAAGAGAGAGATAGCCATAAAAATCACCTGTCTTTGAAAACTCTTGAGCTTATTTGCCAACGTGGATTGGCGTATGCCTCAGGCAACCACAAGCGAATGTTCGAGCTCACAAAGCAGTGCAGAGATGCGATAAAGGAAGACCTCAAAGAGAGAAGAGTATCAGTGCTGGTAGATGTGACAGAAGCCAGGAAAAGCATTCACAACTCCCACCTTTCCTTCACCAACTACAAGACCAAGATGACTGCCCTCCAATGTCCTGATGGATCTTTCACATCTTCCAGAAGGGCAATGGAGAAGATTATCTATGACTTCTACTCAGATCTCTTCCATAGCCACGTCCACCTGCTCGCATACCAAATTCTGCAGGATGGATATGTCGTTCCCAACATTCTCCCTTCCAAAATCTGACACTTCATTTTGTCAGTAAAGAAACGAACAGCACCTGGCCCAGACAAGGTCAGACCTGAACACCTGAAGAACCTGCCATCAGTACTTATCAATACACTGGCTCGGCTCTTCACTCGCTACCTGTCTGAATGCAAGGTTCTTTCCCAATGGAAAACCAGCAGGACTGTACTACTGTACTAGAAGGGAGATATCCATGACATCGGCAACTATCGCCCCATCTTCTGCCATCTACAAGTTGTTCATTCGAATCATTCTGAATAGAATAGGCAGAACACTAGATGAAGGACAACCATGCGAGCAAGCCGGGTTCCAAAAAGGATTCTGCACGATCAACCATATCTATACTGTGACCAAGTTCATTGAGGTTTTGCAAGAGTTCACGATGATGCTGCTCTGTCTAATGTTCATCAATTTAAAGAAGGCCTTTGATTCTGTTGAGACTGAAGCAAACATTGAAGCCCTAGCCAAACAGGGCATTCAAACTCAGTACATCAGGATCTTCTGCGAGCTGTATTATGGATTCACCACCAGGATCTCACCATTCTACAAGAACATGCTCATGGATGTTAAGAGAGGGGTTTGGCAGGGTGATACCATTTCACTGAAATTCATGACCCTCAAGAATGTCATGCAATGACTAGAATGAGAAGAAATGTGATTGAAGATAGATGGTCGGCAACTACACCACCTCTGTTTCACTAATAACATTGTTCTGATAATATGAAACATAGCCAAGTGGCACAAATGCTGACAGACTTCAACTGTGAGTGTGGAAAGTTGGATTACAGCTGAATCTCACAAAGACAATGTTCATAAGAAACACTCTTGTTCCTGATGTTTCATTTACTCTCAACGGAACCACCATCTCCGAATGCAACAGTTATATATACCTAGGTCGAGAAATCAACATGATGAATGACCTGGCACCTGAGTTATGCAGGAGGCAGAGAGCGGCTTGGAACGCCTTCAAGAGTGGTGAAGAAATAGCTAAGAGGACGAAGAATCTCTGACTCTGGGCACATCTCTTTTATTCTACAGTTCTTCCACATTAATATACGCCTCAGAGACCTGGGGTCTTGGAAAACAGTATGAGAACACTATTCATGTCTCCCAAAGAGGAATCCAAAGAGCTATGCTTGGAGTATCATGTTTCACTCAAATCAGAGAAAGAATCCGAGTTCCGATCTCTGTGGATGGTCAAGAATCAGAGACCCAGTTACCCTTGCCTCCTTTTCTGGCTGACAAAAAAGAAAAAAAAAAGAATCAGGGACACTGTCTCGTTTTTCAAGGCATCAAAAATCAGATGGGCTGAACACGAAATGTGATTTGGAGAAGACCGCTGGACTAGAGCTGTTACCGACTGGATTCCACAGGACGTCAAAAGACTGCATGGCCACTCACCTACAAGATAGTTAGACTTCTTCGTCAAGACCCTGAACAATTGGTTTGAGGCTCTTCGTGTTCCTAGAATGAACAGATACCATTGGGCTACACTAGCACGCGACAGGGACGAGTGGAGACGTTGCTGGCACCCGCTCGAGCAGGTCGATGATTAACGGGAGGTCAAGTGATCAAGATTTCAATCATAACAGCTATACAGTTAATAAAAAATTCTCTATAAATGGCCTACTAGGTTATCATTTCCTATATTTCCTACTGCTGGTTTTAGAGTGGTTTTAACGTGATAAACTTATAGTCATATTTTTTGTGTATTTTAGCAAGAATTATTGAAATCATTTTATCATAAAATATTTGAAGTAAACATGCTTGTGACTTCTTAGTTTCTGGGAATTAAATAATTAACAAATTAAAAATCATCATATTTAGCCACAATATATAGTGGAATTGGTAGAAATAAAGAATTTGGTAAAAAGATAACCGCCCAGCTCTACAAGTTTTGGGGTTCACTTGAAGGAAGGACAATCAATAGAGGAAAATGTCTAAGATTTTAGAGAGAAATTTCCTTAGAGATCATATAATGCAATTTTTCATCCCACCAAAAAGAAAAATGAAGAAACTCAGAATTCTGAGACTGGGATTTGTTCATCCTGTGGACTGTAGGCATTGGTGTCTAAATGAACAGGAATAAAAAGTAAAACTGTATTATGGTAGAATTACTCCAAAATTATGAAATATCAGTCTTTAATTGGGGGAATTTTGCCTAGCAAGGAACACTGGCAATGAATGGAGACAGAATAGGGTGGGGAAGATGCTACTGCATCTGCTGGAGATACAATAGCAAACATTCTCAAAGCACTGGACAGTCCCCAGAAGATTATCTCACAGAGATTTCCATAGTGCTCAAATTGAGAAGTTTGAGAAAATGTGGAAGAATGGTTTTTTGGGAATTAAATTTATGCTTTTAGGGTCAGAGACCACTAATTCTTGTTGCACAGAAGGAAAGATATTATAGCTTGGGGCTGAAGATCAACTACAGCTGGTAAAGCACTTGCCTTACATATTACTGATCTGAGTTTGACTCTAGCACCACGTATGATCTCCTGAGCACTGCCAGAAGTGATTCCTGAGACTGGCGCCAGTGTGGAAGCCCCAAGCATAGCCTGTCGTGGCCTACCAAAAAGATATTGAATGTTAAGGAATACAGAGTGTGTTGACAGTAAAGATTCGTAAAACAAGACCCTACACTAAGTTCTTTACTGTCAAGCATGTGTCAGGTGTTATTTTAGTCAGTAGGAGTGAAAATTGGGGACGAAAGATGAATCAAGGTGAAAGAGAAGGAAAAATGCCTTGAGGGGTGTATCGCAGTGATCAGAAGTGAATAATCCCCCTCTCCTGTGAGAAGGAATCCCGACCTGCTGCTGGACAGAACAGCAGTTGTGGAGCAGCTGGGTAAGTGTGAGGAGTGCAGGGGCTGGAGCGATAGCACAGTGGATAGGGCATTTGCCTTGCACTCGCCCGACCCTGGTTCGATTCCCAGCATCCCATATGTTCCCCTGAGCACTGCCAGGGGTGACTCCTTAGCACAGATCCAGGAGTAACCCCTGTGTGTTGCTGGGTGTGACCCAAAAAGCAAATAAATAGTGTGAGGAGTGCAGCTGAGGGTGTATGAAAGGTCAGGAAGGGCAGCAAGTTCTATGGGATGACAAGATGCATGGCGATTTCCTGTTCAAAGAGGCGTGCTCTTACCTTCATCATCTCTTTCCCTCTTGTCTGCAGGGTGTGGACATTGGAGCAAAGGGAGTAATGATGAACTTGTCAGCCCCTCTCAACCACATTAATCTCCATGTCCGTGGAGGCTACATTCTGCCCTGGCAAGTGCCTGCACAAAACACACACTTCAGGTGAGTGACTGGCCAGGTGTCCCTATTGCATGTCACTAAGCTCAGATCACGTTGAAACCCAGCTATATGGAAACTTTACCTTTAGGCTCCAAAGCACTTTTAGCATTTTGCTTGTTTTGCTTGTTGGACTTCTCTAGGCAAATTTTTGACAAGTGATTGTGGACTTTCTTCTGGGGAGGGGGAACTGATGGAATTTTGGGAAACACCTGACAATGTTCAGGGGCTATTCCTAGCTCAGTACTCAGGCATAACCTCTGGTGATGCTCAAGGGACCATACGTGTTATTGGCATTGAGCCAGGATTAGCAGGATGGAAGGAGAGTGCCTTAATCTCTATACTATCTCCGAGGCTCAATGGGTTTTCCTAAATGTTAATTTTTTTCAATTAAGGTACCATTGTTTTTAAAAGACTGTCTTATTTTAAGAATACAATTTAGCAGCTCTTCAAAATCAATTTTCCAACCCCATGTTCATCATCAAGTGTCAATAATCCCTCCTCCATAGTCCATTATTATTGACAAGAATATCCGATCTATGTAGATGAGAGAATAGTTAGAAATTGTTTATGTGCATTTGAAAATGTATACAGGGGCAATGGTGATTTATGCTTCTATTAGAAAACCTTGAATCTTAATGTACTCTTTACTAAGAAAGCTATTATCAAAAAATGGGCAAATTTATTACAATTTATGCCTGAGACTGGGATCCCTTTTAAATTTCTAGACCTAAGTATCTGTAACAATAATCGTATCAAGTCAGAAGGATGCTTGCTCTGTTTTTAGAACTGTACTGAAAATGGAGGTTTAATTTGTATATTATTTTTTCTTAACAAAAATAAGAAAATATAGTCTATGATTTCAATCAGAGGTTTTCAATTCTTTCACACCTGTGGGTCAACTTTGGTCCATACCAACAGTAGAAAATAGTGTTTTCTATTCTAATAAAAATTCACATTTTTCTGTTGGACAAAGAGGCTACAAGTGGTTAAATGATGAACTCAAAATCTTATAGTAAGTTTTGGTAATTTTAACTCATAATTTTAACTATACAATGAAATTTGTGAAACCTGTCAGGTAAGTCTAAAAATTCAGTCAAAGTGGAAGAACTTAAGTGCCAATGTGACAGTACAGTGAATAGGGTGTTTGCCTTACAAGTGGTCGACCCGGGTTCTCTCCCTGGAACTACACATGGTCCCCCAAATCTCACAGGGAGTGATGTCTGAACACAGAGCCAGGAGTAAGCCCTGAGTTCCTCTGGGTGTTGCCCAAAATTCAACAAAATGAACAAAAAATGAAACAATTTAGGTTATGTAGAAACAGAACTTACAGCATGCATGTTTAGGAAATTAGGACAGAAATAAAAACTCTCAATATCAGAATTTTCTTAACAATGGAGGAAGGAAGAAATCCAATGAGATATTGTTCATTTCTTGTAGGCTTGTATAGCGTTAAGAGAAAAAAAAATCCCCATTGATCAGTTGATTGATTAATTAACTCATTTCAGACTTGAAGTTCTATAGCTAAAGGAAACAATAACCAGAAGCAAATCCCAAGTCTCTTGAATCTGTGTGCCAATCTTTACAGCACGAAGCACTTTTCTTTGTTTTCATGAAAAACCTGGGCTTATGGCTGTGACTTTGTTTTTATCTAATATTTCTCTCCTTTCTCCCTGCAGTCGTCAAAATTACATAGGCTTCAAGGTTGCTTTGAATGATACAGGTAGTGCTGAAGGCAAGCTCTTCTGGGATGATGGAGTAACCATTGGTAAGTAATGGCTGCTCTGATTCATGTTTATCTCAGAGGCAAAGTTCCTAAGCACTGTATGGGCCTCCCTTTACCCTTTCTAAGGTTAGTATTACTTAGCATTTTTAGATAGAGAATAACCATATTTTACTTCTAAATGTTTGATGCATAGTGTATATAATTTCTGTGAGTTAATAAAGCTTAACTCCAAGTGACCAAATTTGCTGTGTAAGCAATGAAGATGCTGTAGGGAAAATCTTTTCTATCTGATTCCTGCTGGAGGACACATTTTCTAAAGACATGGTTCACTGTGACAATAGAGAAAACAGTACTTCTATCACTTGTGTGGATGTTTTTTTTTTTCTTGACTTATTTATTTATTTATTTTTTGCTTTTGGGGTCATACCGAGTAACCCACAGGCGTTACTCCATGCTCATGCACTCAGAAATTACTGGCAGTGCTAGGGGGAACATATGGAATGCTGGAAATCAAACCTGGGTTGGCCACATGCAAGGTAAATGCCCTACCCCCTGTGCTATCACTCCAGCCCCTGTGTGGGTGTTGTTTAACTTGAAAGAATTCACAAACTTTCATGTTCTAGATCTCTGTTGCCAAATAAAATAACCATTAGGCGTATGTGTGTAATGACACTTTAAAAGTAGCTAATACACCTGGGGATCTAAGTTCTTCATTTTATTTCATGTTAATTAATTAAAATTTTGTGAGTAGCTACTGTCTCTGACAATATAACTCTAGCTTAGCACTGTAGCACTATCCTCCTCTTGTTCATCGATTTGCTCGAGTGGGCACCAGTAACATCTCATTGTGAGACTTGTTACTGTTCTTGGCATATCGAATGCATCACGAATAGCTTGCCAGGCTTTGCAGTGTGGGCAGGATACTCTCTGTAGCTTACCAGGCTCTCCGAGTTGGGTGGAGGAATCGAACCCTGATTGCCCGCATGCAAGGCAAATGCCCTACCCGCTGCGCTATCTCTTCAGATCAGCTTTAGAGTACCACTAGTTAAATTTTGTTTTATCATGACCCTTTTCTCACAAAAGAAATGTACCACAGGTAAGTGTCTATGGTTCATGACACGTTTGACTTGGAATTTATTTTTGGTCATTGCATGTTCAGAAAATTTTTACTATTGCCAAATTTTTAGCAACCCCCACATTCAACTATGTGATCCAGATAGAATTGCCACCTTTGCTTTAGGAAACAAAGCTCTAGAGAATATTTGTTGTCCTATAGAGTTAGGTCAGCAAATTAGATGAGAAGCAACCACATGGGGAAGGGGAAGGTGCCAAGTATAGAATGTAGCACGGAAAAATCTGAAACAAGTTTCTGTTTAGGGAACTTTTAATGGAGTTTCCCATTTCCCTGAACCTGTGGCATAAATGAAGCACAAGAGAGAAAGAAAACTTTTGTTTGTTCTTCAATAATTTTATTTGAAAATTGTCTAAATACTTCTCAAGTTAAACCAAGCAAGATATCAGCTTTGGTGTTTGTAATGTGTTCACCCCCATGTGTGCACATATGTATGCTCTAGCAGGAGTCTGTAAATTCTGAGGTAATATGGGGAGCTTTTGATAGTGGTATATCACAAGAAAAAAATAACTAAGAGTTTGTTTAGGAAACCACATGCCGTGAGGTGGCTCCACCACACAGCTGCATCTGTATACACTTATTGCAAACATTTGGTACAAACTGAGACTGGAGACAAAGTCCGACTTTGCTCTCATAAGAAGAAACTCTGTAGAGAATAAAAATTGCACAAAAAAATGAACAAAAATCATGTCCACTTTCTCTCTTAACAAGTAAGTGATAGAATCTTAGAGCATAAGTCCTGATGACGATTATTTTGTTGTTTGCAGATACCATTGGGAAAAAAAGCTATTACTTGGCAAACTTCAGTTTCAGCAATGTAAGTGTGACTGATAAACCAAGGGATAATGGAGTTATGCTAGTATCCTGGGGCTCTGCATGGCACCTAGGATTCTAGGTGGTACTTGATGCTATGAGAATCTGAAGGGCGTAAGGTACCACTTACAATCCCTTCATTACTCTTGTTAATATGCATTATTCCTCTGAACTTAAGATGGAGATTTAGTTTAATCCTAAGGAAGTTTCTGTGATTAAGCCCATCATGTTTCATTGGTTACTTATGTCACACCTGCACAGACTGCTCCTATAGTACCTAACTCATAGTCCTATATTGCTGTGGAATAACCTGCACATTTTGTGACTTCTTCACATATAGTGTTTCTGATACTGAGACTCTTTGTCTTTTTGGAATTCAGGGAAATGCCAGATATTTATCAGGCCCTCAGCCAATACAAAGTTAGAGGATAGATGGAAACTAGGGATGGAATCTCAAAATCATAGCCTTCAAGGGCATCGAAGAGGATTAGAAGATAACTCTGACATTGTAAATGCCTACACTGTAAATCATCTACATTTATAAATGATAAAAATATGTTGGGAAGTACCAAGGATATTGCTCAGCATTAGAACATAGATAGGATTTTCATGTCTGTGGCCTTGGTTTCAATCTCTGATATTGAAAATATAAAAAGGAAGAGTTGAAAGGTTTTTCTATTTTTACCTCCTCTAATTTCTTTTATCTCCTATTGACAGAAAATGATGAAAAGTGACATAATTTTCAACAAGTACGTTAATAACACAAACCCTCTGCTGCTGGGACACATTGAGATTTGGGGAGTGGACAGTGACCCTACAGCCCACGTCAGCATAAATTTGACCAGTGGGGTTATACAACACACAGCAAGCTACAACTCTACAACAAAGGTTTGTGACCACTGAAAAGTTCGATGGTATTTCCCAGCCCTGGGCTAGTTGTATAACTCTTACCTGATTCTCTTTCAATTTGGATGAGGTAAACATTGAATGTAAAAAAATTTAAGGAAGAGATTAACTTATATTTTTTATTTTCTTTTTATTTTAAGTAAAGTAAAGTAAAGTAAAGTAAAGGCCCTCCCGTTGAACGTCGATTTGCTCGAGCGGGCCCAGTAACGTCTCCATTGGAGACTTTGTTGTTACTGTGTCTGGCATATCGAATACTCTCGGTAGCTTGCCGGGCTCTCCGAGACAGGCAGAGGAATCGAACTCGGGTCGGCCATGTGGGCCGCTTGTAAGGCGAACGCCCTACCCGCTGTGCTATTGCTCCAGCCCTTCTTTTTATTTTAGATTTTAGATAATTTAATTTTTATTATTTTGATTTTTAATTATTTTATG